AAGTCTAACAAGCACAGACATCTCTTCTTCTTCGCTTACAAAGCATTTTGTTTCTCGGTCTCCTCCTCTCTCTTCTTGCTGTGAGAGCAGATTTTGTCCCACTGTCCTGTTGTGGTGAACCGTCATTTAAAAACCGCTTTAGTTCTGAACCCTGGCCTTGAAGGGGCCTTGAAGGGGCCTTGAAGGGGGCTCTCTGCGGATCTGCCTTGAATCCAAACCTTTGAGGTGTCGGCCAGGCTTCCCTGGAGGGCTCCCTAAACCCGACACTTCAACCTGACTGCAGCTTCAATGGATCAGACCGGCCTCCTTTCATACGGCTGCTGAATATGCAGAGAGGAGGTGGAGGGCAGGAGGGTGAGGAGGTGGAGGGCAGGAGGGTGAGGAGGGTCCGCTGACTTCACAATAAGTCACTTAACTCTCAACCTAATGTCTGATTAATACCGGCTTCAACACACACTGTGGATTATTTATACAGCGGCCCGCTGCCACAATACTCACCAGTGAAAGCAGCCCACATCAGTTCACAGTTAGGTGATAAAAACAGCAGTTTTTAGTTCTTAGTTTAATTCATTTGCAGCATTTATTGTAGATGTGACCTGTGTTGTTAACGTGGTGAAGATCTTTTCTTCATCTGCATGTGTTTTAAGTTGTTTTGAGCTCTCTGGGCCACCGTACTCCTGTGAGGTTGTTTATTTCTGTATTGTTACTGTAAAGTCAAACACTAATAATCAGATTACATATGAATCCTGTGTTTGCTCTGTAATCTGACTGTATACATGTTGTCCTGGATGTGACGTCCAGCATGCACTCACACGCAGTCAGTCTCAATGAAAGTGGTGATTATCCAGCGCAGCAGCCTCGGTGGGCCCGGTTCTGTCTGTTGTGTATAATTACTGCTGCTGTGTGAGCTAAAGGGACAACTGATGGAAAATCACTGCTGGCAGCAGAGCGCTCTGAGCGACAGCACAGCTCATCATGGAGGAATGTGAGCAGGTTTTCCACCTCACAGAACAATGAGCAGCCAGCCAATGAGCAGCCGGACGGCCCGGCCTGCCGCTAAGCCCCACTGAATAGCTTCATTCTTGGACCGGCTGGTCCAAAGAAAGACGAGGACCTCCCAACTGGGCAGCCGCGTTCACCCGAAGCTGGAAGATTGATTATTGATAAGTGATTATTAAAATGTGCTCCACACAGCAGATATAAACATATTGCCGATATATGTCACAGACACAGACGTTCGTTATCGACAACTTTATCAATCACAACATTCACTTGTTAAAATACTCAGCAGGTGACTGAATGAAGCAGCTGTCTATCAGAGGCGACCTTCAGCCAATCAGATCAATGAACCATGTAAACACTCAAACTGAAGTCAGTGGGAGAAGAGAGGAAACCTTCAGTGTCGTTTGTTCCTTAGCTCTCCAGTTCTTATAGAACTGATGCTACCAGCAGCTACGCTAACCTCTTTAGCAGCTACGCTAACCTCTTTAGCAGCTACGCTAACCTCTTTAGCAGCCACGCTAACCTCTTTAGCAGCTACGCTAACCTCTTTAGCAGCCACGCTAACCTCTTTAGCAGCTACGCTAACCTCTTTAGCAGCTACGCTAACCTCTTTAGCAGCTATGCTAACCTCTTTAGCAGCTACGCTAACCTCTTTAGCAGCTACGCAGCTACGCTAACCTCTTTAGTCTCCGTACCTGTGTCACAGACTGTACCTGTGTCGGTCTCTGTACCTGTGTCAGTCTCTGTACCTGTGTCAGTCTCCGTACCTGTGTCAGTCTCTGTACCTGTGTCAGTCTCTCTGTACCTGTGTCGGTCTCCGTACCTGTGTCGGTCTCTGTACCTGTGTCGGTCTCCGTACCTGTGTCAGTCTCTGTACCTGTGTCAGTCTCTCTGTACCTGTGTCGGTCTCCGTACCTGTGTCAGTCTCTGTACCTGTGTCGGTCTCCGTACCTGTGTCCCTGTGTCAGTCTCCGTACCTGTGTCAGTCTCTGTACCTGTGTCGGTCTCCGTACCTGTGTCAGTCTCCGTACCTGTGTCAGTCTCTGTACCTGTGTCAGTCTCTCTGTACCTGTGTCAGTCTCCGTACCTGTGTCAGTCTCTGTACCTGTGTCGGTCTCCGTACCTGTGTCCCTGTGTCAGTCTCCGTACCTGTGTCAGTCTCTGTACCTGTGTCGGTCTCCGTACCTGTGTCAGTCTCCGTACCTGTGTCAGTCTCCGTACCTGTGTCACAGACTGTACCTGTGTCGGTCTCCGTACCTGTGTCAGTCTCCGTACCTGTGTCACAGACTGTACCTGTGTCGGTCTCCGTACCTGTGTCAGTCTCCGCACCTGTGTCAGTCTCTGTACCTGTGTCAGTCTCTCTGTACCTGTGTCAGTCTCTGTACCTGTGTCGGTCTCCGTACCTGTGTCAGTCTCTGTACCTGTGTCAGTCTCTGTACCTGTGTCAGTCTCCGTACCTGTGTCACGGACTGTACCTGTGTCAGTCTCCGTACCTGTGTCAGTCTCTGTACCTGTGTCACAGACTGTACCTGTGTCGGTCTCCGTACCTGTGTCACGGACTGTACCTGTGTCACAGACTGTACCTGTGTCAGTCTCCGTACCTGTGTCAGTCTCTGTACCTGTGTCAGTCTCTGTACCTGTGTCAGTCTCCGTACCTGTGTCAGTCTCTGTACCTGTGTCAGTCTCCGTACCTGTGTCAGTCTCTGTACCTGTGTCAGTCTCCGTACCTGTGTCAGTCTCCGTACCTGTGTCAGTCTCTGTACCTGTGTCAGTCTCCGTACCTGTGTCAGTCTCCGTACCTGTGTCACAGACGATATATATGTATAATCTATAAAATATTTAAATGTGTTAAATAAGAGAAACAGCAGTATGCTCACAGTGAATAGTCGCTATGGTTACAGAAACCTTCAGAGTACTTTTACTTTATACTCTGATTACTTCTCCTGTAACTGAGTATCTGAATATTGACTGTGTACTTTTACCTGCTCTGCTCACCTGCTTTCTCTCACCTGTCTCCAGTTGTTTCTACAGCCAGCTAATGCTAACAGACACTGAGGCTAATTATTATTTCACATGAAGTCACTAAATTAAATGCTAGCTCAGAGCTAGCTTAACCACTGCTAATGAGGAAACACAGAAACTAACGTTAGCTAAACCGCCAATACTGCTATCAGCTAATGCTATCGGCTAATGCTATCAGCTAATGCTATCGGCTAATGCTATCAGCTAATGCTATCGGCTAATGCTATCGCTCAATGACGATGCTAACACGCTAATTAGCAGCTAGTTGTAGTGACATTAGACAGGTTGAGTCACAAACCACCTGAACAACAACAACAACAACAACAACAACAACAATAATAATAAATTAAAGCTGCAAGCAGCGTTGAACGGGATCTCGCACCCGGCGCACGTCGGCCGCGTCACGTGCCGTCGTAACAAGCTCGGACCACGACGTGAAAATGTCACGTAAATCAGCTCAAAATCGCCCTGCAGCACTTACTTCCTGTTGCCACTAGGTGGCGCTCTGACTATTACTGAATATTATCACATAGACGTGTTCAGGGCGGGACTCTTATCGAACATGTGAAGTTTCGTTGCAGTCGGATCATGTACGCAGAAGTTATTACGAATCCCTCTATAATGGCGAAGGATCGAAATTGCACGCCACGGGACGCCACGCCACATCCACAAAGTTTAACGGAATAATGTAAATAGCACAACTTTTAATACTGAATGTGTTTAGATGGCTGTGTCCAAATCTGAAGTCGGTCCGATAAACGTCCTAGGAGGAGTTCGTTCAAATACAACGTGTGCAAATCGCCAAAAATGGCCACAAAATCCAAAATGGCGGACTTCCTGTTGGGTTTGAGGTATGGGTCCTTGAGGCTTTTCTGCTTCTTTTATCATCATACGCATGCGCAGCTATTTTAAAACATGTGGGCCTTACGGGTCCCGGGGGCTGATGCGGGGGGGCGTGGCCTAGCCGTTTGGCGCCGCCCGTGCACGGAGACAATGTCATATCGGTATTTTAGCTACGATTGAATTTTATGCAAATTTCCATGAGTTCTTGAGAATGCTGCGTTAGAAGGCGATAATAATAATAATAATAATAATAATAATAATATTAACTCTTAATGAGGAACAATAGTGTCTCATTAAGAGTTCATTACTCACCGGATGGATCAACTACACACACGGTGCTATTTTCCCGGACTTCGTTATGTCCCGCCCTCCTCTGCCTCTGATTGGCTCATCCTGACACTCTCGCTCTTACACTAACCAATCACACTCTTCATGCCTGAACCGAACCAATCAAACCAACGAAGGCAACGGGTACTAGCCAATCAGAGGCAGAGGAGGGCGGGACATGCATTTGTGATGCTAGCTAAGCTAACAGACAGCTCATTATTAATATTAATTAATATTAATTAATATTTCCTCATTATTTAAACCTGCTGCTTCACACTCCTCTTCCTCATTTAGCCTAAAACCTCACAGCTACCGTTCAATGTGCTCAACAAATTGAAATATTCCATTTAATTTATTAATCATTTAAATTGTAGTTATTATTATTATTTAATATTTCATTCATCTGTTTCTTTCTTTTTTTAAGTTATTTTTTTGGCCTTTTCTTGGCTTTATTTTTATAGAGACAGCTGTAGAGAGACAGGAAAGGTGGGTGTAGAGAGAGGGGATGAGACGCAGCAAAGGGCCGCAGGTCGGATTCGAACCCGGGCCGCTGCAGCAAACCGGGCGCCGATTCATGTGTATTAATATTGCTGTTCATCATATTGTCTGCTCTGTCATTTAATTAGAAACATTTTATTTTGTGGTTCTCTTACCTTTTATGAGTTTATGTATTATTTCATGTTGATAGTCTTAAATTGTACTTTTCCTGGAAGTTACATTGAACATAAAGTGGAGTTTGTATTATTAATTACAGCCATCACACATTAGCTCTAACTGCGGGAGCACAAGAAGCACAGTCAGCTGAGTTCATTCAGAAAAACACACCTCACATTTATTGGCTTTGAGTTCTGTGGACAGAAGCTAACAAACATTTGGCACAAAGACAGATTTTATTTCATTCGATTTTCCACACGACGACCTGAATCACAGATGAGACAGACGGCTGTGATGCTGTGCGACACATTGTTGTGTTCAAATAAAGCGTGATTAAAGTATCCACACTGCTAACACCTCTCTGGTTCAAGTATCTGTACAGTATAAAGGTTTGTTCTCACTGCTGTACAATGAGGCAACGATAAGACGCCATCAACAGCCACCAACAGGCCGCTGCAGCAGAGTCACATTCACCACTTCATCCTCCATATTCTGCATCATTCTTCACTTTATCACTTCATGTGTTCACACAGGGAATTACTTCTTCGTTGGTGGGTGCTTTCACCTCATATGGAACTTTTTTATAATTATCATTTTTCATCCAAATTTTAATTACGACTACATTGTATTATTCCAGAAGCTCTGATAGCTCTGAGCTGGCACTAATATATATATCTATATATCTCCATATAGGTAACGTGTACAGCAACATTAAACCCATTTCCCTCCCATAATAAGGGCACAGTAGTTCTCTACGAGAGCAAGAACAAGGCTGCCATCCTTCATATAATCATATATACAGCCATGAGGTGCTTTAATAATACTGCTGTGAAAGAGGTCATTTGGCATGTCAACATTTCCAAAACACTCTCTTGCAAACGTATTGCTGGAGTGTACAGAAGAAGATATGACCACATTTTTTTACTTTAAACTCAGATAAATGTTTGCCATGTGGCTCTAACCGTCCGCTGTAAGTGTGTCCTGGTTGAGCGACTGGGTGTCAGCGGCAGTGTCAGAGTCAAGCTGCTGCAGCGGCTGTCGGACTGTAATCAGACTGAAGCAGCTCTGACATTAAGGCAAACACATTCTTTGGCAAAACAAGCGACACAACAGACTGCAAAGTAAAGACGATCACAGAGACGCTGCTGGTGGAACATTGAACCTGATGGTCGAACACTGACTCAGCTACACTGTAAGGCAGTTATACACACTGTAGAAATGTTCTTTATGCTCTTTTTACACACTTTGGTCATTCAAAATAAACTAACTCTGTAGATTTCATATATTTGCAGCTTTACAAAATACATTTTTAGACTTTATATGAGCAGCTTTGACAGAATCAATATACATGTTGACAGTGTGTGTACAGACAGAGAAATAAGGCTTTAAAAGCTTCTATGAGCTGTGGTCAGACAGCAGGTTTCAGCCTCCATTAAAGGACCATTTTATCACATGTCCGTCACTTTAGTCAGCTGTGACAATACTGTACTCATTAATTACCTGCTAAGATTATAACGTTCTACTTTGTGAGTACAAAAAACTACAAAAATACAGTTAAAGTTGTGATAAACCAGAATGATCCTTTAAGGCCGGAGACGCTTTTAACCACGCACTAGCATACTTAATGGCTGCTTCGTGTATCCTGCGTTTGGACCAATGGTTGTGCATGTCCTCTGACCCTTCCTAAGCCCCGCCCCTTTTTCTTTGTGCTCCAATAACAATTGAGCAACCCTCGGCCAACTTCCTCCTTTCCTGTGCTTAGATATGCTATATGCTAGACTATGTTGAAAAGACAACCACATTTTGAAGATGGTTCAAAGATAAAAGAGACATATATATAGTCACATCTTAAAATAGCTAATATTAGCAAAATGCTAATGCTTAGCTAGTTAGCTAGGCTACATTAATGGTTAGCTAGCATGTTAGCTAATCTACATTAATTGCTGGTTAGCAAGTTATATCTGATAGCGATATTAGCAGAACACAGGCTAATTAGCCAGCTAGCTAACGATTGATGTAGATTAGCCAGGAAAGATGTAGGGACTTAGAAGGGTTAACAACGAGAATATCTCTGGTTTAAGACAATCCATCCACCTCCTGCAGGACCTTTATGATTGATTACATAGCATTTATTGGAGAACTGATCAATACTGCAGTTCATTTCCTATAAAGACCTAAAGAGGAGAGCAGTGTTGAGCCATGACTGGGTGAATTATTTCAGTGTGGAGCTCACTGTTGATGTGAAACTGTGAGTCACTGGTCACTGTCTCATCAACAGCCAACAGAACTGAAACCAACAGAATATATCTGATAGACAGGTTGTTGGTTTGAGTCTGAACGTGAAGGAAAACACAGAATAACACCAGACTGACAGACAGAAGAAACTTTTGACATAAGAGTCAGAAAAGTGATTAGTTGATTAATCGATTAGTTGTCAACTTTAAATTAATCACCAGCTATTTTTATTTTTTATCATTTATTTATTAATCGTTGTGGGTCTTTATTTTTGCTGATGACATCCTCCTGTTTGTCTGCGTCCTTTCTCTAGATAGTTTCTCAAAATCTTCTGGATACAACATTAACTGGCCAAAATCAGAGACCCCCCCACCCAACAGCAGACTGCTCGGTAGTTTCAGCTGCCCCACGAAGGGTTTGACGTACCAGAATAACATTCCCCCCAAAATTTGGCTGAATTGTGCAACTTTGAACACCTGCTGGATAAACTGAGGACATTGAGTGTTGGGCTTTTTCTTTCCTGGTAGGTCAACCTGATTAAAATGAGTAATGACTACTGCTCCTAAATTTAATTAATTAATAAAAAAATATTTCAGCTTCTCAATGTGAATATTTCTGGTTTCTGTTGTCCTTCCTGACATTTTCTGGACTAAAGAACTCATTGATTAATGGAGAAAATGATTGACAGATTAATCAATAATGAAAATAATGATTAGTTGCAGGATTATGTGGACGGATGGACAGCTGTGATACAGAGACAATGTAAGACCGTGAGCTGCGTTCCTATTGGACGGTGTGTGTGTGAGTGCTGAAGCTGCTGATTGGCTGAGAGAAGTTCCCGCTCCGCTCTGAGGGGACGGGACTGATCTGGGGTCTACAGCTGGGTGGGGCCTCGGCTGTGTGGCTCCCCGCTGCCAGGAGAAGGCGCCATCACCAGGCTCCGCAGGTAGACGCAGGGGTTCCCTCCTCCTGCCTGACCCGGGGCGGAGCCGGGCGGCGGTGGGGCCGGAGGCGGCATGAGGGAGCCGGGGGGCCTCAGAGATGACATGAGTGGCTGCATCTCCTGCACTGCTCCCCCCTCTTCCTCCTCCTCTTCCTCCTCCTTCTTATTCCTCTCCGGGAAGCAGAAGGGACCCTGCAACACCTGAGCCCCGATGGAGGAGGTGCTGCCGGCCGTACTGCCCGGTGGGGTGTAGGAGGCCGGCCGGGGTCCTCCCAATCTGGAGAGGGCGCTGACGCGGGGGTGGACGGGCTCGGCGGGGACGGGCGGGGAGGAGATGCTCTCCAGGGAGGAGATGCTCTGGTTCCAGGCCTGCTGGAGGTCCACAGGGATGATCTTGTTGGCCTCCACAGACACACAGGGGGGAGGAGAACCCACGCTGCCCTTCCATGGGAGGTGGCTGTCCCCACTGGGGGGGGAGGAGGGGCTGGCTAAGGGACTCCCGTCCAGAGCTGCTGGGACTGACGGAGGAGACACAACAATAACAGAAACTGATAAACGGTCCAATGAACCCAAACAGGGAACACAGTAACAGCAGGAAGTTATAGCAGATTATTTCCTGTGAATATTGTCTGTATTATCTGTACAATCATAAACAAGGTTGGAAACCAAGTGGGATTCATTCGCTCTGTCTCGTCTGTTGATAATGACCAATAATTAATAATGAATTCATAATTTAGAATATCGTCTGCTTCCTTGCTCAAAATATCTGAATACAACTTTAACTCAGAGTCACTCTTCCAACCCTAACCCACAAAGGGCTTGATGTACTGGAATAACATTCCCCCCAAATTTGGCTGAATTGTGCAACTTTGAACTCCTGCTGGATAAACTGAGGTCATTGAGTGTTTCTCTGCTTTCTCTCTCTGTGAGCCAACCTGATTAAATTTGGTGCTCCTGAATTTGATTATGTGTTACAAGCCGTCCTGATCAAAATCCCTCAGTCATAGTTTAAACAGTTTATTTAGACAGATAATGCAATACTTCCTTATGGAACGACCCAGACTCAGGGTCGGCAGTCCCAAACCTTAGACACATGGCACACTGGTTGTTGCAGAGCGAGCCCTGCCCTGGTTTGTTCTGTAAAGTACCCTGTGTAGCCCTCTCTCTACAGCACACTTTATAACATCTAAATTACCCCAAGATGTCAATACACATCCAGTTGTCTCGCATATACAGTGGGTCTGGAGGAGAGTAGCGTTCAGTTACAAGGTCAACCCCCATCTCTATCTACATGCAGGAATCTGGTTGAATCCAAGGCTCTGTACTGGCAGAAGCTGTGGTATCAAAAAGGGTTCAAGGTTCTCTGTGACCTTTATGACAAGGGGACACCGAGTTTGTGAAATCCATAACAGCAATTTGATATCGACAGAGTCAGTTTGGAGATTCCTTCAGTTGAGGCATCTGCTACTTTTACTCTATGCTGCTTTAATTTTGATGGTGATATGTCGTCTCTCAGATCAACAGGGGAAGCTGACCTCAGTGTTGATTCACTGAGGGGGATTGGATCTTCTTTATTTCATTTAAAATATTAAACGGAGCCTATAGGACCCCGTCCAGGTTGCACAGAGCGGGGCTGTGGGAGGATGCAGGGTGCTGGAGGTGCAATGGAAACGATGGTGACTACATTCAGTTGTGGGCAAAGATGTCTCTTTCACTCCAGCTGTGTACTTGACCCGACCCCCAGTGTGGGAACCACCGTCTTCAGTAATCATCTACACTTTAAAAACAGCTGTTTCACTTATTTTAATTCACAGAAATCAATGAAATGCTGAAATATAGTCCAACTGTGTGTGTGTGTGTGTGTGTGTGTGTGTGTGTGTTACTGTGTGTGTGTGTGTGTGTGTTACTGTGTGTGTGTGTGTGTGTGTGCATGTGTGTCTGTGTGTCTGTGTGTGTGTTAATGTGTGTGTGTGTGTGTGTGCGTGTGTGCCTGTGTGTCTGTGTGTGTGTTACTGTGTGTGTGTGTGTGTGTGTGTGTGTGTGTTAATGTGTGTGTGTGTGTGTGTGCGTGTGTGCCTGTGTGTCTGTGTGTCTGTGTGTGTGTTACTGTGTGTGTGTGTGTGTGTGTGTGTCTGTGTGTGTGTGTGTGTGTGTGTTACTGTGTGTGTTACTGTGCATGTGTGTGTGTGTTACTGTGCGTGTTACTGTGTGTGTGTGTGTGTGTGTGTGTGTGTGTGTGTGTCTGTGTGTGTGTGTGTGTTACTGTGTGTGTTACTGTGCATGTGTGTGTGTGTTACTGTGCGTGTTACTGTGTGTCTGTGTGTCTGTTACTGTGTGTGTGTGTGTGTGTGTGTGTCTGTGTGTGTGTGTGTGTGTTACTGTGTGTGTGTGTGTGTGTGTGTGTGTGTGTTACTGTGTGTGTTACTGTGTATGTGTGTGTGTGTGTGTGTGTGTGTGTGTGTGTTACTGTGTGTGTTACTGTGTATGTGTGTGTGTGTTACTGTGTGTGTTACTGTGTGTGTGTGTGTGTGTTTACTGTGTGTGTTACTGTGTATGTGTTTGTGTGTGTGTGTGTGTGTGTTACTGTGCGTGTTACTGTGTGTGTGTGTGTGTGTGTGTGTGTGTGTTACTGTGTGTGTTACTGTGTATGTGTGTGTGTGTGTCTGTGTGTGTGTGTGTGTGTGTTAATGTGTGTGTTACTGTGCATGTGTGTGTGTGTTACTGTGCGTGTTACTGTGTGTGTGTGTGTGTGTGTGTGTGTGTGTGTGTGAGTGTGTTGTTACCTGATTTGGGTCGTTGTTTCGGCGTCTCTGCTTTACGCGCTACGAAGGTGATCCCGACATCTTCCTCCTTCTCAGGGTCTGAATGTTCACCTTTCTCCTCCTCTGACTCCACAGGAACAACCACAGGATCTACACACACACACACACACACACACACACACACACACACACACACACACACACTCAGCCTCAGTGTGTGTATATAAACTACAGTCTGTGTGTAGATCCGTTGTTGTTGTTGTTATATGACAGTAATGTTTGACAGTGGAGCTTTAAAGTTAAAGTGAAGCAGACTGTTGGTGATGGACGCTGGTTCCTCCCTCCAACCCTCCATCAGCAGCTTTATTTACTTTTGTCCTGCCAGCTGACGTTGCGTCTGGGTTTGTCGCTGCCATCCTCCTTGGCATCAGATCCTCGCCGCTGTCAGGACAGAATAAACCCGAGAGTTAACCTGCAACCATAACAGGAAGCAGCCGGCCTCCAATCAGAGGCTGTCATTACACAGTGAGAGTGTTAATTAGAGAGAGAGGCTCAGGATTCTTTAAGGAGGATTTATGCTCCTAATAAAGCAACACGGTATTCTTACTTTATGATGGGATCCTCACTGCAGCTTATATAATTTAACTTTCTTTTATTTTAAAGGATTAGATGATCCAGTGTGTTTGGGGATAAACTTTATAGAGGAGGGAACTTGTTTGATATTAATCTCTCGTTCATGTATTCAGATTATTTAAATAAAGGTTTGTCATTTATATACAGTAGAAGTTATATATTTAAAAACCCTGAAGATGAAGACGATGTTGTAAACATGTTGCTGTGAATAAATAAAGTAGTGAGTGTTTCCCACCTTCTTCAGGCTGCGCTCCTTCTTGTGCCGTTTGTGTCGGGTGGATTTAAACGTCTCCATCCGGCTCTTCATGTTCCTCTGAAACACCTCCCGGTCCTGGCGCTCCTTCTCCCCCAGAGGCATGAAGTGACGGCTGTAGTGGGACTGATACTGCAAACAACAACAACAACAACAACAACATCACCAACGCAGACACTGCTTTCAGATCAGTGTGTATTCACGTTCTCTGAATGTAGCATCTTATGCTAACGTGTCCGTCACTCTGCGTCCCTTCAGTCAGGTTTTATACAGATGAGTCTCCGCTGTGCAACTCTTCATCCTCTAAGGTACTCTTTCTACAAGGAGACTCGTCTTGGACCCTGGAACCTCTTTAAGGACCACAGAACCCCCCCAAGAACCCTGTAGAACCTGCTACAGGTTTTATGTGTGTTACCCGTCTCCGGGGTTTATACAGGTTCTCTGCGAGGACGTGGTGCGTCTCCGTGTCCTCCTCCACTTTGGCTCCGGGGACGTTATCGATCACCTGGAGGTCCAGACACACACCGCTGCCGTTCTCACGCCTGAACACGCCAACAACGTGCAGTTAGGAGTTAGCAGTTAGCAGTTAGCAGTTAGCGTAACTTTGACCTGAGTCATGTGACTCACAGGTAGTTGGTGACATTGGTGACTTCTGGGAACGAGGCTCTGCTGGCCATCGAGGGCAGAGACAGTCTGGCTGAGGTCAGCACGTTCCCGCCCTACACACACACACACACACACACACACACACACACACAGACAGACAGACAGACAGACAGACAGACACACACACACACACACACACACACACACAGAGGTCAAACGTCTGACCTCTGCTCGTGATCAAAAATAAACCTGTGCTGTGTATATTTTATTACATTATAATATATAATACTTTATTCCTGTACATTATAGTATATTATAGTATATTATAGTATATTATAGGATATTATAGGATATTATAGTATATTATAGTACATTACAGTATATTATAGTATATTATAGTACATTACAGTATATTATAGTACATTATAGTACATTATAGTATATTATAGTACATTATAGTATATTATAGTATATTATAGTATATTATAGTACATTATAGTATATTATAGTATATTATAGTACATTACAGTATATTATAGTACATTATAGTACATTATAGTATATTATAGTACATTATAGTACATTATAGTACATTATAGTATATTATAGTACATTATAGTATATTATAGTATATTATAGTACATTATAGTACATTATAGTATATTATAGTGTATTATAGTATATTATAGTATATTATAGTACATTATAGTATATTATAGTGTATTATAGTATATTATAGTATATTATAGTGTATTACAGTATATTATAGTACATTATAGTATATTATAGTATATTATAGTATATTATAGTACATTACAGTATATTATAGTATATTACAGTATATTATAGTACATTATAGTATATTATAGTATATTATAGTACATTACAGTATATTATAGTACATTACAGTATATTATAGTACATTATAGTATATTATAGTATATTATAGTACATTATAGTATATTATAGTGTATTATAGTATATTATAGTATATTATAGTGTATTACAGTATATTATAGTACATTATAGTATATTATAGTATATTATAGTATATTATAGTACATTACAGTATATTATAGTATATTACAGTATATTATAGTACATTATAGTATATTATAGTATATTATAGTACATTACAGTATATTATAGTACATTACAGTATATTATAGTACATTATAGTATATTATAGTATATTATAGTACATTACAGTATATTATAGTACATTACAGTACATTATAGTATATTATAGTATATTACAGTATATTACAGTATATTATAGTACATTATAGTATATTATAGTATATTATAGTGTATTACAGTATATTATAGGACATTATAGTATATTATAGTATATTACAGTATATTATAGGACATTATAGTATATTATAGTATATTATAGGATATTATAGGATATTATAGTATATTATAGTATATTATAGGATATTATAGGATATTATAAGATATTATAGTATATTATAGGATATTATAGGATATTATAGTATATTACAGTATATTACAGTACATTATAGTATATTACAGTATATTACAGTATATTACAGGATATTATAGGATATTATAGTATATTACAGTATATTATAGTATATTATAGTATATTATAGTATATTACAGTATATTATAGGATATTATAGTATATTACAGTATATTATAGTATATTACAGTATATTATAGGATATTATAGTATATTACAGCATATTACAGTACATTATAGTATATTACAGTATATTACAGTATATTACAGGATATTATAGGATATTATAGTATATTACAGTATATTATAGGATATTATAGTATATTACAGTATATTATAGTACATTATAGTATATTACAGTATATTACAGTATATTACAGGATATTATAGGATATTATAGTATATTACAGTATATTATAGGATATTATAGTATATTACAGTATATTATAGTATATTACAGTACATTACAGTATATTATAGTATATTACAGGATATTATAGGACATTACAGTATATTACGGTATATTATAGTATATTACAGTATATTACAGTATATTACAGTATATTATAGTATATTATAGGATATTATAGTATTTTATAGTACCCCTACCTGGTCGATCACACTGATGGCATCCCTGATATTGATCTTCTGATAGGCTTCCCACAGTTCACTCTTCCTGTACACTGACTTCCTCAACAGCAGTTTACTCAGGTAGTTCTTATCAAACTGCTCCCACCTGAACACACAGAGACAGACAGACAGACAGACAGACAGGCAGACAGGCAGACAGGCAGACAGAGGCAGAGACAGACAGACAGAGGGAGAGACAGACAGACAGGGAGAGAGAGAGAGACAGACAGTGTTACTGCTCCCCCTGCTGTCCGCTGTCAGTCATTACAAGAATAGCATACAGTCCACTTTAAAGTATTAGATTAATTCATTAATAATCTATTGGATTATAGATTAATAATTAAAAATCTATTCGATTATAGATTAATAATTAAAAATCTATTGGATTATAGATTAATTCATTAATTAATCTATTGGATTATAGATAATAATTAACAATCTATTAGATTAAAGATTAATAAATCATTAATCTATTGGATCATAGATTATTATATTAATTAATCTATTGGATTATAGATTCATAATTAACAATCTACTGGATTATAGATTCATAATTAATAATATACTGGATTATAGATTATAGATAGATTACAGTCTAACTGTAGTTTGATGTTAAATTCATAGATGTGATGATGTAAATGTGATGTCACAGTGACGTCACTCACTTGTCTCTCCAGTGGTGGTATCCCTGCAGTCCTGCAATGTCCTCCACTGCTGTCAGGATGTGGTCAAAGGCCTGAAAACACACAATTAACCTGGTTCATCTGCTGCTCTGAGGTTCTGTTGCTCTGAGGTTCTGCTGCTCTGAGGTTCTACTGCTCTGAGGTTCTACTGCTCTGAAGTTCTGTTGCTCTGAGGTTCTGCTGCTCTGAGGTTCTGTTGCTCTGAGGTTCTGCTGCTCTGAGGTTCTACTGCTCTGAAGTTCTGTTGCTCTGAGGTTCTGCTGCTCTGAGGTTCTGTTGCTCTGAGGTTCTGCTGCTCTGAGGTTCTACTGCTCTGAAGTTCTGTTGCTCTGAGGTTCTGCTGCTCTGAGGTTCTGTTGCTCTGAGGTTATGTTGCTCTGAAGTTCTGCTGCTCTGAAGTTCTGCTGCTCTGAGGTTCTACTGCTCTGAGGTTCTGCTGCTCTGAGGTTCTACTGCTCTGAGGTTCTGCTGCTCTGAGGTTCTGCTGCTCTGAAATTCTGCTGCTCTGAAGTTCTGCTGCTCTGAGGTTCTGCTGCTCTGAAGTTCTGCTGCTCTGAGGTTCTGCTGCTCTGAGGTTCTACTGCTCTGAGGTTCTGCTGCTCTGAAGTTCTGTTGCTCTGAGGTTCTGCTGCTCTGAGGTTCTGCTGCTCTGAAATTCTGCTGCTCTGAAGTTCTGCTGCTCTGAGGTTCTGCTGCTCTGAAGTTCTGCTGCTCTTAGGTTCTGCTGCTCTGAGGTTCTGTTGCTCTGAGGTTCTACTGCTCTGAGGTTCTGCTGCTCTGAAGTTCTGCTGCTCTGAGGTTCTGCTGCTCTGAGGTTCTACTGCTCTGAGGTTCTGCTGCTCTGAAGTTCTGTTGCTCTGAGGTTCTGATGCTCTGAGGTTCTCCTGCTCTGAGGTTCTGCTGCTCTGAAGTTCTGTTGCTCTGAGGTTCTGCTGCTCTGAAGTTCTGCTGTTCTGAGGTTCTACTGCTCTGAAGTTCTGCTGCTCTGAGGTTCTGCTGCTCTGAAGTTCTGTTGCTCTGAGGTTCTGCTGCTCTGAAGTTCTGCTGCTCTTAGGTTCTGCTGCTCTGAGGTTCTGCTGCTCTGAGGTTCTGTTGCTCTGAAGTTCTGTTGCTCTGAAGTTCTGCTGCTCTGAAGTTCTGCTGCTCTTAGCTTCTGCTGCTCTGAGGTTCTGCTGCTCTGAGGTTCTGTTGCTCTGAGGTTCTACTGCTCTGAGGTTCTGCTGCTCTGAGGTTCTGTTGCTCTGAGGTTCTGCTGCTCTGAGGTTCTACTGCTCTGAGGTTCTGCTGCTCTGAAGTTCTGTTGCTCTGAGGTTCTGCTGCTCTGAGGTTCTACTGCTCTGAGGTTCTGCTGCTCTGAAGTTCTGTTGCTCTGAGGTTCTGCTGCTCTGAGGTTCTGCTGCTCTGAAGTTCTGCTGTTCTGAGGTTCTGCTGCTCTGAAGTTCTGTTGCTCTGAGGTTCTGCTGCTCTGAGGTTCTACTGCTCTGAGGTTCTGCTGCTCTGAAGTTCTGTTGCTCTGAGGTTCTGCTGCTCTGAAGTTCTGCTGCTTTGAGGTTCTGCTGCTCTGAAGTTCTGCTGCTCTGAGGTTCTGCTGCTCTGAGGTTCTGCTGCTCTGAGGTTCTGCTGCTCTTAGGTTCTGCTGCTCTGAGGTTCTGCTGCTCTGAGGTTCTGTTGTTCTGTTGCTCTAAGGAAGGGAACTCACCCTCTCGTGGATCTCCTCGTTGATAGTCGGCTTCCTGCTGGTGGATCGAGGAACTTTGAGCCAGTCTACCAGAGGTTTGATGGTCAGACCCTGATGGAGAAACCAGTGGATCAGTGGATCAGTGGATCAGTGGATCAATGGATCAGTGGATCAATGGATCAATGGATCAATGGATCAGTGGATCAATGGATCAATGGATCAGTGGATCAATGGATCAGTGGATCAATGGATCAGTGGATCAATGGATCAGTGGATCAATGGATTAATGGATCAATGATCAGCAGATGGATCCTTAATGGGAATCATTATTAGCTGCAGTCTGATAAATGATACAGTCACATAGTCAAAGGAAGAGCTTCAGTCTGACTGTTAGCAGTCACTGTTAGCATCAGCAGCCGGTGTGAACACACACACACACACACGCACACACACACACACACACACACACACACACACACACACACACACACACACACACACACACACACGCACACACACGCACACACACACACACGCACACACACACACACACACACACACACACACACACACACACACACACACGCACACACACGCACACACACACAGTAACACACAGTAACACACATTGTTCCTACCTGGAACATGACAGTGAAGAAGACGACCACTATCGTCGTGGCGACAAAGTAATCCTTAGCTTTGACCTGCTCTCCGTCCAGCAGCACCACCAGAGCGAACGCCACTGCCCCTCGCAGGCCGCCGTATGACATCACCACCTGGTCAATCTTGTCCAATGGGACGAGGCGGAAGCGGTTCAGAACCCAGGTCTGACCAATCACACCTAGAGGACGAAGGACAGGACAGCCAATCAGAGGACAGAACAGATTAAATACTCTAAATACGATAAAGCTAAAGGATGTTTCAATAAAGTTTTATTCAAATGGCCTTGTGTGACGGAGCGGACGGCGAGGACTAAAGGTTAAAACCCACTGCTGCCATCTCCTGGGGATTTATTGATTGTCTCTGTCACTATGATCATTAGGATTGTAAGTGATGAATTATTGGATCATTCTCTCTTCTGATTGGACGATATATAGAGACATTTGTTCTTATGTTTCTATGGAAACGCCCTGCGTCTGAAGAGGAGTCACACTGACCCGCCGCCCTGAAGACGAAGATGAAGACGAGCGTGCAGGACACCAGGCCGGTGTCCCAGGCCCACTTGGACTTGTCCACAGCTGAGATCCCGAGGAAGATGAAGATGATGGTCTCTGCAATGCTGGCCAGAGTCTTCATCGTGTACTTCACCGTGGTCCGAGACTTCTGGGAAATGTTGGCTTCAACGTATTTATTGGCACCGATACCACAGAAGGTCATTCTGAGGAGGGAGGGTTTGTTTATCTGTCTCAGTGTACAGCAGTAATCAATCAACAAACAATCAATCAACAATCAATCAATCAATCAATAAACAAATAAATCAATAATCAATCAATAATCAATCAATAATCAATCAATAATCAATCAATCGACAATCAATCAATCAATTAATCAATCAATCAATCAATCAATTAATCAATAAACAAATCAATCAATTAATCAATAAACAAATCAATCAATAATCAACAATCAATAATCAATCAATCAATAAAAAAATCAATCGATAATCAATCAATAATCAATCAATCGACAATCAACAATCAATCAATCAATCAATCAATCAATTAATCAACAATCAATCAATCAATCAATCAATTAATCAATCAATTAATCAATAAACAAATCAATCAATTAATCAATAAACAAATCAATCAATAATCAATCAATAATCAATCAATAATCAATCAATAATCAATCAATAATCAACAATCAATAATCAATCAATCAATAAAAAAATCTATCGATAATCAATAAACAATCAATCAAAATCAACAATCAACAACAATAAACAGAGCGAGAAAAAAATATAAGAAAGACGAAGAACTGCCAACAGAAAACTGACAAATCCATTTTAATATTATGAAATCAATAAAAACACGTCAACGTCTGCTGTGAACTTATTTACCAATATAAACAACAACAAACCAGGACTGGTCCTACTGGACCTACTGGTCCTACTGGTCCTATTGGTCCTACTGGTCCTATTGGTCCTACTGGTCCTACTGGTCCTATTGGTCTTACTGGTCCTATTGGGCGTACTGATCCTATTGGTCTTACTGGTCCTATTAGTCGTACTGATCCTATTGGTCTTACTGGTCCTATTGGTCCTATTGGTCTTACTGGTCCTACTGGTCCTACTGGTCGTGCTGGTTGTACTGGTCCTATTGGTCCTATTGGTCTTACTGGTCCTACTGGTCCTATTGGTCCTACTGGTCCTACTGGTCCTATTGGGCGTACTGATCCCATTGGTCTTACTGGTCCTATTGGTCGTACTGATCCTATTGGTCTTACTGGTCCTACTGGTCGTGCTGGTTGTACTGGTCCTATTGGTCTTACTGGTACTGGTCCTACTGGTCGTGCTGGTTGTACTGGTCCTATTGGGCGTACTGATCCCATTGGTCTTACTGGTCCTATTGGTCTTACTGGTCCTATTGGTCTTACTGGTCCTACTGGTCGTGCTGGTTGTACTGGTCCTATTGGTCTTACTGGTACTGGTCCTACTGGTCCTACTGGTCCTACTGGTACTGGTCCTACTGGTCCTACTGGTACTGGTCCTATTGATCGGGACTTACGACAGAATGGCGGACAGGGAGAAGAGCTCGGCGGTCAGGTAAGCCAGGTAGACCATCAGGAAGACGAAGAGCGGCTCGATGATGCGGACCTTCTTGGTGAAGCGAGTGATGAAGCCAAGGATGACGGCGAACACCAGACCCACCAGAGTCCCCCCGATACTGACGATGAGGAAGGAGGCTGCAGAGGAGGATGAGGAAGAGGAGGAAGAGGAGGTTAGTAACAGGAGGGTCAGATACAGACCGATGGTGTTTCTCTCTGTAGACTCACCGACTCCTTTGAAGTAATCAGCTGTCTGAACGTTCTCCACTCCCACTTCCACAAAGGAGATGTAGACTTTATAGAGAACCTACAGAGAACAGAGTAACAGTGGAACAGAGGAACAGTGGAACAGAGGAACAGTGGAACAGTGGAAAAGAGGAACAGAGGAACAGTGGAACAGAGGAACAGTGGAACAGTGGAAGAGAGGAACAGAGGAACAGAGGAACAGAGGAACAGTGTAACAGAGAACAGTGGAACAGAGAACAGTGGAACAGAGGAACAGAGGAACAGTGTAACAGAGAACAGTGGAACAGAGGAACAGAGGAACAGTGGAACAGTGGAACAGACGAACAGTGGAACAGAGAACAGAGAACAGTGGAACAGAGGACAGAGAACAGTGGAACAGAGGAACAGTGGAACAGTGGAACAGTGGAACAGTGGAAAAGAGGAACAGTGGAACAGAGGAACAGAGGAACAGTGGAACAGAGGAACAGAGGAACAGAGGAACAGTAGAACAGTGGAACAGTGGAATAGAGGAACAGTGGAACAGAGAACAGTGGAACAGTGGAACAGTGGATCAGTGGAACAGAGAACAGAGGAACAGTGGAACAGTGGAAAAGAGGAACAGAGGAATAGTGGAACAGTGGAACAGAGAACAGTGGAACAGAGGAACAGTGGAATAGAGGAACAGTGGAACAGTGGAACAGAGAACAGTGGAACAGAGGAACAGAGGAACAGTGGAATAGAGGAACAGTGGAACAGTGGAACAGTGGAACAGAGAACAGTGGAACAGTGGAACAGAGGAACAGTAGAGCAGTGGAATAGAGGAACAGTGGAATAGAGGAACAGTGGAACAGTGGAACAGAGAACAGTGGAACAGAGGAACAGAGGAACAGAGGAACAGTGGAATAGAGGAACAGTGGAACAGTGGAACAGTGGAACAGAGAACAGTGGAACAGTGGAACAGTGGAACAGAGAGCAGAGAACAGAGATCAGAGGAACAGTGGAACAGAGGAATAGTGGAACAGCGGAACAGTGGAACAGAGGAACAGAGGAACAGAGGAACAGTGGAATAGAGGAACAGTGGAACAGTGGAACAGTGGAACAGAGAACAGTGGAACAGTGGAACAGTGGAACAGAGAGCAGAGAACAGAGATCAGAGGAACAGTGGAACAGAGGAATAGTGGAACAGCGGAACAGTGGAACAGAGGAACAGAGGAACAGTGGAATAGAGGAACAGTGGAACAGTGGAACATTGGAACAGAGAACAGTGGAACAGTGGAACAGTGGAACAGAGAGCAGAGAACAGAGATCAGAGGAACAGTGGAACAGAGGAATAGTGGAACAGCGGAACAGTGGAACAGAGAACAGAGGAACAGAGGAAGAGAGGAACAGAGTAACCGTGTGTTACCTCCTGATGTTGACAGTCAACTTTTATTCATTCACTGTTGCTAGACTGACGGTGACAGCAGACTGTTTAAAATGTTCCTTTTTCTGGTCATACTGTGGTGTTACTCTCAGATATATACAATACATATTTTTAAAATGACTATAACTTAAATGTTGTTGCCTAATAATCATAAATTCGGCCTCTTTCTGTAAGTCAACCAGTATTTTCTCTGTGGTGGTTCTGTGAAGAGGTTGAATGTCCGACAGCATCCTGGTTTCTCTTTGGAGAACAGGAGGAGGGTTGATGGTCACATGGTGTAGAAACTCTCACAGCTGCAGTTTCCCACACTTTCTCCATTTGTTGGTGGGATTAGCTCATATTCTGAGTGCTGTTGAGGATTAAACAGTTAATCTGCTCAGAACTGTTCAATCTCAGCTTTCTCAAACTCAACATGCTACCGAGTAAAAGAGCACTTTCTGCTCTTCATCAAAGGGACAATCTGATGATTTCTGCTCATATATTTCCTCTTTAAAATGACTCCATGATCTTTCCTCTAGCGCCACTTTCAGGACGTTTGAGGATCTTTAGAGACTGAACTGATTATATGTTATAAACCACAGCTCGCAGTAAGCAGTAAGGGTAGTCACATGGACCAAAGTGATGAGTTCAGTTCACCTCCCGTGTGTGTGTGTGTGTGTGTGTGTGTTACCACGGTGACGGCGTCGTTAACCAGCGACTCTCCGAACACGATGATGAAGAGCGTGTCGTTGACGTGAACCTCCTCAAACACAGCCAGCACCGCCACTGGGTCGACGGCCGAGATCAAAGCTCCGAACAACAAGAAGTCCATCAGGTCGGCCTGCACGCGCTCGTCTGCACACACACACACACACACACGCACGCACGCACGCACGCACACACACACAGACACACACACACACACACAGACACACACACACACACACACAGACACACAGACACACACACACACACAGACACACACACACACACACACACACACACACACACACACACACACACACACACACACACAGATACACGCACACACACACACACACACACACACACACACACACACACACAGATACACACACACACACACACACTCACACACACACAGATACACACACACACACACACACACACACACACACACACACACACACACACACACACACACACACACACACACACACACACACACACACAGATACACACACACACACACACACTCACACACACACACAGTAAGAGTCATTGTCATAGTTTAATTTCATTTTCATAAATAAAATATAAAACTTACTTTCATGTAAAAAAGTTAAAAGTAATAAATATACTGTGTTAAAGCTTCTGTATGGTTTACAGTTATAATGGTTGTTTATGTTGCTACAGGTTCATAAACATTACATTGTACTTTTGCTAGCTAGTTAGCAGCTAACGCTATGAGCCTCCAGACAATTAAAATATATTAAAACAGGAACTCCACAAAATAGGTTTAAAAGCTGAGGAAGCTGACCTATGACCCCCAGCAGTTTGGCGGCGTACAGGCAGAAGCCGGTGCAGAAGGCGTTCCACAGCGTCCCCACCACCGCGTACGTCAGGATGGCTCCCAGGTTGTCGAAGAAGAGGCGGGCCGGCATGAAGTACCCTGCGTCGCCCACGATGGTGGGCAACAGGAAGAGGAAGAAGAGGGCGGGCTCCAGCTGGTACAGCTGCTTCTTATTGGCTATGAGGACGACCCCGCCCAGAACCAGACCCAGCAGGATCAGCATGCAGCTCTCTGGGACCACAGTGGTGAACCGCTGGGAGAAGTGGAACACTGCGGGGCCAGAAAGACATGCTTTACAGGACAAATCCAGATCTTTGTTTAGTCTTTAAGGTTGGGTCCAAGGGTCCTAAGCCCCGTCCCTTTTTATTTCACTATTACTACTAACGAGCTCATCACAAACACATTTTACTGTTTATCTGGAATACCAGATCCTGTGTGAGCAGGAGAGCCGCCAATGAGAGCAGCTCAACTCGCTTTACATGACCTCCGCTGGCTGCTAAACACCAACATGGAGACGACCATTAAGCCCAACTGGAGGCTCCAGAGCTCCACAGACCGACGACGTTAGCGCTCTCCGCTGTGTTTATCTGCAGGTTGCTTGCAGGTAGAAATGGGCGGAGCCAAATAACCTGGCGTCAGCATTTATCAGCACACACACACATTAAACAACCACTGCTGACTACACACTCATTCTGCTGCTTGTGTCTCAGTTTGAAATCCACCAGCACTGTAAAAACAGATCAGTTCATTTTACTGAAACTGATTATACCAACATTTAAAACTATAATAGTGTTAGTAGTGTTTAAGTGACACTGACTTAATTTTAATTTTTACTCTGAAAACAATATACCCAGTAAAGAGTTATTAATCTTTCTGTAACATAAAATGAGTAAAAGAGGCTTCATCACGAATCTTTTTAACCTAAAAAGTTTGTATTACTTAAAAATTCTAAAGTAATCACTTAAAGGATGTTACGCTATGAGCCAGAGAGATAAGTTGAGTTTGTGTTACTTAAAGATTGAGATGATTCAGCAGTTGTTTGAGTTTCATGAGAGTTTACTTATCTGGTTTTAAATGTGAGGACAGACACAGATTATATTATCTGCTCTCTGATTGGTCGGTGTTTGATGATGCGTGTGTGTCCGTGGACACGTAGTGAGGAGTCACTGAAGGTCTGCAGTGAGTCACACAAACATTAGCTCACATTAGCGCCGCTGCTCATCAATCAAACCCATCAAACACTGAACAGCTCCGTCTCTGCTCTCTGAGGGTTCCTGGTCCTACAAGACCTCCTCGTGATGTCACATTCAGGGCACCAATCAGGAGCCAGCGTGCAAACTACACTGAGAATAATAACAGTAATATTAAACTGGGCGCCAAAAACTACAGCAAATAACAGAAAGTTACTTTAATTAAAAATATTTACAGTGTAAAACAGGGATCTATAAATATAATCCAATAATCAGACTTACATTTACAGCAGAGTGCTGTTATTATTGGATTGTTATTATTTTAATCTGAATGTTAAAAGTTATAGAAGTGTAATAAAAGTCATTATCTGTGAGATTACAGTAATTATTGCTGTTTACACTGATAACAACTGTATTTGGACAGTTTACCTTATACACTGATAAACAACATTTATTCTACTTCCATCATTATACAACATATCTGTCAGTTAACTCACTAATACATTAAAGTTACACAACTAATACTTTAAAGTAATTTAAAATGTATTAACAGTATTAAACTGAATCACAATCAACTGCTGGGAGCTGAAATATTCCCACTTCCTGTTTAAACATTTTGTAACACACACACACACACACACACACACACACACACACACACACACACACACACACACACACACCTATAACACAGACACAGTAACACACACACACACACCCACACACACACACAGTAACACACACACACACACACACACACACCTGTAACACACACAGACACACACACACACACACACAGTAACAGTAACACACACAGTAACACACACACACACACACTGTAACACACACACACACACACACACACACACACAGTAACACACACAGTAACACACACACACACACACAGTAACACACACACACACACACACACACACACACACACACAGTAACACACACACACACACACACACACACACACACAGTAACACACACACACTGTAACACACAGTAACACACACACACACACACACACACACACTGTAACACACACACACACACACACACACACACACACACACACACACAGTAACACACACACACACACACACTGTAACACACACACACACGCACACACTGAAACACACACACACACACACACACACACACACACTGTAACACACACGCACACACTGTAACACAGACACACACACACACACACACACACACACACACACAGACACACTGTAACACACACGCACACACTGTAACACAGACACACACACACACACACATTCACATACACACACACTGTAACACAGACACACACGCACACACTGTAACACACACGCACACACTGTAACACACACGCACACACTGTAACACAGACACACACAGACACACAGACACACACACACACTTTTGGGAACCATCTACAGTTTATAATGTCAGTGTGTTAAAGCTGCATTCTGTGTATTGGCCAGCAGGGGGAGGTCCACTGGCTCCACTGATCCCATTCAGTCTTCTTCTACGGAGGCTTTACGAGCTGTATGCAGTCAGCCAGCAGGGGGCGATAGAGAGGTTCTGTCTATCAAACATTATATTTTTATGTGGATGGTTGAAACATATATTTTATACATATTTATATGTTTATATAATATTTATTTATATGTTTATATAATATATTTATATAATATATATTTATATGTTTATATGTTTATATAATATATATTTATATGTTTATATAATATATTTATATAATATATAAGTTATATTATATATTTTTTTATATAATATATTTATATAATATATATTTATGTTTATATAATATATATTTATATGTTTATATAATATATATTTATATGTTTATATGTTTATATAATATATTTATATAATATATATTTATATGTTTATATATTTATATATTTATATAATATATATTTATATGTTTATATATTTATATATTTATATAATATATATTTATATGTTTATATATTTATATAATATATATTTATATGTTTATATGTTTATATAATATATGTTTATATGTTATATATTTATGGATGTTTCCATTAATGTAAAGCAGATTTTTGCAGAATGAGTCAGTTTTTATTAGTTTAACGATCACATGATGAGAAACAGCTGAACAGACAGAGACTGTGTATGTGTCTGTGTGTGTGTGTGTGTGTGTGTCTGTGTTACAGTGTGTGTGTATGTGAATGTGTGTGTTACAGTGTGTGTGTATGTGAATGTGTGTGTTACTGTGTGTGTGTGTGTGTGTATGTCTCTCTCTGTGTGTGTGTGTTTAATATATAGTGTGTTATTGTCCTGCAGCAGTGAGTCACCAGCAGTGTTTAGAGAGAGAGGGTTGGAGAGAGAGACTGAATGTTTCTATCATAAGAGCTTCAGACACACAGACAGATACAGAGAGACAGACAGACAGACACACAGACAGACAGACACACAGACATATTTATTCCTAATGAAGATATTTTCTGTTTTATAGATTTTAACTTTCTCTGTTTAAATACAACAGTATTGTACGGAGGACCTTTAGGGCCACATGTGTAAAGTATATCTGACTTCAGTCATTCATTATCTACACACACTGTAAACTCATCAGACATTAAAATCTTCCTCTGGTTTCAGTTTTATTAATATATAATATAATATTAAAATATTGATCAGTTGCACTGTAAAAATAAGTTTATAAAGTTTATTTTACAGATTTATTCTGTATTTATTAAATATATAGAAATATTAATAACAAATCTGTAACTGTAAATAATAAAAAATACTGCTGATTTAAAGTTTAAGTTTTTTAAGTTGTATAATTACTTTAATGTATTAGTTAGTGAACAGACAGATATGTTGTATAATGATGGACGTTGAATAAATGTTGTTTATCAGTGTATAAGGTAAACTGTCCAAATACAGTTGTTATCAGTGTAAACAGCAATAATTACTGTAATCTCACAGATAATGACTTTTATTACACTTCTATAACTTTTAACATTCACATTAAAATAATAACAATCCAATAATAACAGCACTCTGCTGGAAATGTAAGTCTGATTATTGTATTATATTTATAGATCCCTGTTTTACACTGTAAATATCTTTAATTAAACATTAAGAAGATTTTATGTCAAATTACAGCTAAAAACTGTTTTTAATTATAGACAATCACTGTAATCTAGTATTTTAGTCCTATCAGTCGGTTCCAGTAGAACCAGTATCAGACACCAGAAACCAGTTTTAAGACTTCTCTGATCCATCAGACAGATCGATCCACAGACACAGACCTGATTCTGATCAAACTTCTAGACCAGTATACAGCTCCAGTCCGAGAACTGGTCCAGCACCAGTCCGGGTACTGGTCTCCACTCACACACAGAGGACTTACGGATCTTGGCCACGCTGGCGACCAGCAGCCAGATGGCGATGATGTAGGGGGTCTGGACGTAGCTCCACTCCCACTGGACCACCCGGTACCCGCCGCCGTGATGATGATGCGGACCCTCTTCTTCCTCTGCGGGGACAGCCGGCTCCTCCGCCGCGGACCGGGCCAAGGCTACACCGGGAGCCCCATACTCCGGCCGGGGCTGCGGGAGGAGGAGGAGCGGCGGGGCGGAGGCAGAGGCGGAGACCGACGGAGAGAAGCCAAGTCCCGGCCCGAGGAGCGGCGGAGCGCCGGTGTCCGGTAGGTCGGCGGCGGCGGCGGCCGTCAGCAGCAGCGTCAGACCGAGCAGCAGCATCTTCCACCCGGAGCTCAGCGGGCGGACATCCCCCCTCACCTGGAGCTTATATACGCACCCAGACACCGAGAGGACACCGAGCGGCGGAGGGAGGGAGGAGGAGGGAGGAGGAGGGAGGAGGAGGAGGCACACACACCGGGAGGAGGGGACACCGGAGCATGTGACCCCCCTTTAAAGAGACGGAGGCTGTTCACGTTCACTGACATCATCAGTGACGTCAAAAACTTTACGCTACACATCTGTGACGTCAGAACCGCAACTTTTCTGGTGAGGCTCATTGATCATTGATTATTGATCATTGATTACTCACTGTAATAAGTGATTTGATTTGAGTGTTATTTTAAACCAAAAACATTTGATTTGAAACAAACTAAATTCTTTAAGTTGAAAAGATTCTCGATTTGAATTTTAAGATGATTAAGAACTTTTAAAATCACTGAAGCTACTCGATCAATAATGTTTTTAACGTTTGAAATGTTAACGTTTCAGTTGCTGATCAATAGTTGCATAACACGTATTGATAACGTATTTAGTTTTAAGATATTGAGCAATGAGCTCCAGAGGGGGCGTGGCTCAACCACCAGGGGGCGTGGCTCAACCACCAGGGGGCGTGGCTCAACCACCAGGGGGCGCCACAGTTATAGATCAGATTAATCCTCCAGGAGGAACCACAGAAGAGAGAAACAGAGGAGGGAGCGCTCGGCAGGACGGACAGACAGGAAGTAAAATCACAGTGATGATTATTGATTATTGATTGTAAACATGAAGAAATGATGCAGTTCGTCTTTATTAAAAACCTTTATTGATTTTATCTAAAACAGAAACTGAAAACTCGTCAATCAAAAAGCTCCTCAGTGAGGAAGAGGAGTGAGGAAGAGGAGTGAGGAAGAGGACTGAGGAAGAGGAGTGATGGAGAGGAGTGATGGAGAGGAGTGAGGAAGAGGACTGATGAAGAGGACTGATGAAGAGGAGTGAGGAAGAGGAGTGATGAAGAGGAGTGAGGAAGAGGAGTGATGGAGAGGAGTGAGGAAGAGGACTGATGAAGAGGACTGATGAAGAGGAGTGATGAAGAGGAGTGAGGAAGAGGAGTGATGGAGAGGAGTGATGGAGAGGAGTGAGGAAGAGGACTGATGAAGAGGACTGATGAAGAGGAGTGATGGAGAGGAGTGAGGAAGAGGACTGATGAAGAGGACTGATGAAGAGGAGTGAGGAAGAGGAGTGATGAAGAGGGAGGAAGAGGACTGATGAAGAGGACTGATGAAGAGGAGTGATGAAGAGGAGTGAGGAAGAGGAGTGATGGGAGAGGAGTGATGAAGAGGACTGATGAAGAGGACTGATGAAGAGGACTGATGAAGAGGAGTGATGGAGAGGAGTGAGGAAGAGGACTGATGAAGAGGACTGATGAAGAGGAGTGATGGAGAGGAGTGAGGAAGAGGACTGATGAAGAGGACTGATGAAGAGGAGTGATGGAGAGGAGTGAGGAAGAGGACTGATGAAGAGGACTGATGAAGAGGACTGATGAAGAGGAGTGAGGAAGAGGAGTGATGAAGAGGACTGATGAAGAGGAGTGATGAAGAGGACTGATGAAGAGGAGTGATGAAGAGGACTGATGAAGAGGAGTGAGGAAGAGGAGTGATGAAGAGGAGTGAGGAAGAGGAGTGATGGAGAGGAGTGATGGAGAGGACTGATGAAGAGGAGTGATGAAGAGGAGTGATGGAGAGGAGTGAGGAAGAGGAGTGATGAAGAGGAGTGATGAAGAGGAGCATGTTTGAACTTTGTGTCGTTAATGTTAATAAACTGCAGTCGTCTTCGTCAGCCAATCAGAGAGCAGCTCGTGGTTCCTGGTGAAGTGGCGTCTGTCAGCTGCTCTGGGTTCAGTCTCTTTAATCAATAGTGTCCATTGATCCATTGATCGATCAGTTTGAGTCTCAGACTTTGTCTCCGGTCTTGCTGTTGAGTCCCAGAGCCTGAACCACGTCCAGACTGAGTCCGCTCTTCAGAGTCCTCCTCACTGAAACACACACACACACACACACGTTAGCATTCTGAGTTAATGCAGAGCTAATGCTGAGCTAATGCAGAGCTAATGCAGAGCTAATGCAGCGCTAATGCTGAGCTAATGCTGAGCTAATGCTGAGCTAATGCAGAGCTAATGCAGCGCTAATGCTGAGCTAATGCTGAGCTAATGCAGCGCTAATGCAGAGCTAATGCTGAGCTAATGCTGAGCTAATGCTGGGCTAATGCAGCGCTAATGCAGAGCTAATGCAGAGCTAATGCTGAGCTAATGCAGAGCTAATGCAGCGCTAATGCAGCGCTAATGCTGAGCTAATGCTGAGCTAATGCTGAGCTAATGCAGAGCTAATGCAGAGCTAATGCTGAGCTAATGCAGAGCTAATGCTGAGCTAATGCAGAGCTAATGCAGCGCTAATGCAGAGCTAATGCAGAGCTAATGCAGCGCTAATGCAGCGCTAATGCAGAGCTAATGCTGAGCTAATGCTGAGCTAATGCAGCGCTAATGCAGAGCTAATGCTGAGCTAATGCAGAGCTAATGCTGAGCTAATGCAGAGCTAATGCAGCGCTAATGCAGCGCTAATGCAGAGCTAATGCTGAGCTAATGCTGAGCTAATGCAGAGCTAATGCAGAGCTAATGCTGAGCTAATGCTGAGCTAATGCAGAGCTAATGCTGAGCTAATGCTGAGCTAATGCAGCGCTAATGCTACAGTTCCTCTTCAACAGTTTTACGTGAATAGATCTGAACCCAGTTTCCTGACTCTGGTGAGGAAGCAGGATCCATCAGTCCTGTTTCAGTCCTCAGATCGGTTTTAGAATTGATTGTAAGATTTTATTGATCACCTTAGCTCTGGGTGCAGGACTCTGCTGGTTCAGGACCATCTCATATTATATAAGTATTATTGTTCTGATCTCATTAGTGATGGCTATCTTATTCTTTATTATTCTTATTATTCTTATTCTTATTATTCTTCTTCTTCTTCTTCTTCTTCTTCTTCTTCTTCTTCTTCTTCTTATTATTATTATTATTATTATTATTATTATTATTATTATTATTATTCTTCTTCTTCTTCTTCTTCTTCTTCTTTATTATTCTTATTATTATTATTCTTATTATTCTTATTCTTATTATTATTCTTCTTCTTATTATTCTTCTTCTTCTTCTTATTATTATTATTATTATTATTCTTATTATTATTATTATTATTATGCTGCCGGTCTCACTAACGGTCCCAGAGGACCAGAGCGTCCTCCAGACTGCAGCCGGAGGACGGATTATCTGCTGCCACAGGATTTACTGATATGGAGCTGTTTTGGACACAGAGCTGCTGTTTGTGTCTCAACAGAGTCCAGACCAGACTGAACCCAACAAGAACCAGGTTCAGATCTGATATGAAGCTCAGCAGGAAACAGGAAGTGAAAACTTCCTGAGAGGGAACAGACTGATCTGTCTTCAGGGTCACAATGAATCGGTCAAAAGATTAAATTCTGGACCAGCGTCCTCGGGTACTCACGTGACTTCCTGTTCAGTCGGGACCGTTTGCGGGTCTTGGGGCTGGACGGTCTGTCTGAGGGATTCTGGGTGACGGATTTGACCAGTCTGTCCATGATCTCGTCGGTGGCGTCATCCTGGGAACCGGTCCCGTCTTCTCTGGCTACAGACATCTGAGACGGACTCACCCTGCCCAGACCTGAGGGACCAGAACCAGAGCCGGGGTCAGAGCCTGAACCAGATCCAGGATGTCAACCACACACAGGATTCAGGTCTACAATATGCTGTGTTTCAAACCACCTCTGGACCACTTTACACTCCAGCAACCCTGTCTGTCTGTCTGTCTGTCTGTCTGTCTGTCTGTCTGTCTGCCTGCCTGTCTGTCTGCCTGCCTGCCTGTCTGTCTGTCTGTCTGTCTGTCTGTCTGTCTGTCTGTCTGCCAGCCTGTCTGTCTGTCTGTCTGTCTGTCTGTCTGTCTGCCTGCCTGTCTGTCTGTCTGTCTGTCTGTCTGCCTGTCTGTCTGCCAGCCTGTCTGTCTGTCTGTCTGTCTGTCTGTCTGTCTGTCTGTCTGCCAGCCTGTCTGTCTGTCTGTCTGTCTGTCTGCCAGCCTGTCTGTCTGTCTCTCTGCCTGTCTGTCTGTCTGTCTGCCTCTCTGCCTGTCTGTCTGTCTCTCTGCCTGTCTGTCTGTCTGCCTGCCTGTCTGTCTGTCTGCCTGTCTCTCTGCCTGTCTGCCTGTCTGTCTCTCTGCCTGCCTGTCTGTTTGTCTGTCTGTCTCTCTGCCTGCCTGCCTGTCTGTCTGCCTGCCTGTCTGTCTGCCTGTCTGCCTGTCTGCCTGCCTGCCTGTCTGCCTGCCTATCTGCCTGTCTCTCTGCCTGCCTGTCTGTCTGTCTGCCTGCCTGCCTGCCTGCCTGTCTGTCTGCCTGTCTCTCTGCCTGCCTGCCTGTCTCTCTGTCTGTCTGTCTGTCTGTCTGTCTGTCTGTCTCTGCCTGCCTGTCTGTCTGTCCTCAGGTGTGCAGACAGGTAACAGCCGTACAGGTGTTTCAGGTGAGACATGAGATCCGATGCAGGAAGCAGTGAATGTGAACCAGGAAGTGACAGAAACACATCGTACAGACATCGGCTTCAGGTTCCAGCATGTCAATCACAGTAACACAACAACAACAACAACAACAACAACAACAACGACAACAACGACCCTGTTTTCACACAGACAGCCTGTCGTTGGACAGACGTCCCTGTGGGTGCTGCTACCTGGAGAATGGTTTCACTGTTCAGCCTCAGACAAAAAGTACGGTTCATATTGAGCTCGCACAGAGTTCAGGACCATTATGAACCACAGAGGGTCTGAATCTGGGTGAAGTGGACTCACTGGTCACAGGGTCTCACTGGACTGAAGGTCTCACTGGACTCACTGGTCTCAGGGTCTCACTGGTCTCACTGGTCACAGGGTCTCACTGGTCTCACTGGTCACAGGGTCTCACTGGACTCACTGGTCACAGGGTCTCACTGGACTCACTGGACTCACTGGTCTCAGGGTCTCACTGGACTCACTGGTCACAGGGTGTCTCACTGGACTCACTGGTCTCAGGGTCTCACTGGACTCACTGGTCACAGGGTCTCACTGGACTCACTGGTCTGACTGGACTCACTGGACTCACTGGTCTCAGGCTCTCACTGGTCTCAGGGTCTCACTGGTCACAGGGTCTCACTGGACTCAGGGTCTCACTGGACTGAAGGTCTCACTGGACTCACTGGTCACAGGCTCTCACTGGACTCACTGGTCTCAGGGTCTCACTGGTCTCACTGGTCACAGGGTCTCACTGGACTCACTGGTCTCACTGGACTCACTGGTCTCACTGGTCTCACTGGTCTCAGGGTCTCACTGGACTCACTGGTCTCAGGGTCTCACTGGACTCACTGGTCTCAGGGTCTCACTGGTCTCAGGGTCTCACTGGTCTCAGGGTCTCACTGGACTCACTGGACTCAGGGACTCACTGGTCTCACTGGTCTCAGGGTCTCACTGGACTCACTGGTCTCACTGGACTCACTGGTCTCAGGGTCTCACTGGTCTCAGGGTCTCACTGGTCTCAGGGTCTCACTGGACTCACTGGACTCAGGGTCTCACTGGACTCACTGGTCTCAGGGTCTCACTGGTCTCAGGGTCTCACTGGACTCACTGGTCTCAGGGTCTCACTGGACTCACGGGTCTCAGGGTCTCACTGGTCTCACTGGACTCACTGGTCTCAGGGTCTCACTGGTCTCAGGGTCTCACTGGTCTCAGGGTCTCACTGGACTCACTGGTCTCAGGGTCTCACTGGACTCACTGGACTCACTGGTCTCAGGGTCTCACTGGTCTCAGGGTCTCACTGGACTCACTGGTCTCACTGGTCACAGGGTCTCACTGGACTCACTGGTCACAGGGTCTCACTGGACTCACTGGTCTGACTGGACTCACTGGACTCACTGGTCTCAGGCTCTCACTGGTCTCAGGGTCTCACTGGTCACAGGGTCTCACTGGACTCAGGGTCTCACTGGACTGAAGGTCTCACTGGACTCACTGGTCACAGGCTCTCACTGGACTCACTGGTCTCAGGGTCTCACTGGTCTCACTGGTCACAGGGTCTCACTGGACTCACTGGTCTCACTGGTCTCACTGGACTCACTGGTCTCACTGGACTCACTGGTCTCAGGGTCTCACTGGTCTCAGGGTCTCACTGGTCTCAGGGTCTCACTGGACTCACTGGACTCAGCATCCACAGGAACCTTTCTGAACAATGAACATCACGTCTGGGACATTTTCACCCAGCTGATGGTATTTTACTTTTCATGTTTCTGAACAAAATATACATAAAGTTTGTGATTTTAAATCTTTGTATCAGAGTGAGGACCGTTTCCTGGGCAACCTGGGGTGAAAGGTCATCATTAGAGTGAGTGAGGCGAACTGAGCGTGCTCAGAAGAGTCTTACTGCGGACGGCTCTGGAGCGTCTCAGTCCTCTCTGCTCGCTGCTCAGGCTGTCGCTGCTGCTGATCAGCAAGTTCTTCATGTTCTCATGCTCCTCCTCCTGACCTGGCTCCGCCTCCGCCGCCATGGAGATGGGGGCGGAGCTGTCCTGGTGAGGCACCGCCCCCGAAAACTTCTCCGTCTGAGGAAGAGGAAGAAAAGATATTCGAATGTCTTCAGTCAGATGAGGTTTTAAAGGAGTTTCACATTGAACAACTTTATTTACAGATTTAATGTTTCATTTGAATATTCAACAAATCACAGTCCGTTCTGATTGATTTATAATTATTAAGTTTCAGCATCAGACGTTGGTCCTGCTGGTGGCCTCTGACCCCCCACCCGGAGGAGCAGGAGGAGGTTTACCTCGGTGATCATCTTGCCTCTGGTCTTGGTTCTCTCTCTGTGAGCGGCTCGTTTGCGTTTGAGGGTGAGGACTCGCTCTCTGGTGGTCCGATACTCGAGAGAGAACTCACTGATGATCCGACAGAAACTGGTGACTTTAATGTCCCGAACCGACGAGGACGGCTGACCCAGGAACAGCAGGAAGGAGTGGAACCTGCAGGAGGAGGAGGAGGAGGAGGAGGAGGAGGAGGAGGAGGAGGTCAATATGCAGGTAATGTGTATCTGTGTGTATCTATGTTTGTGTATCTGTGTGACCTCTGACCTGTTGATGACCCTCCTGTGGACCACCTTCAGGATGATGATCCTCTGCGTACAGTCCTTCAGGAAGTCTGTCATCTTGTTCTTCAGGACCGCTTTGGTCTCGTGTTTGGCCACCACCTTCAGGTTGTCCCATGATGCTTTGCAGCGTCTCTCCAGCTGGACCAGGTTCTCTGACAGCAGCTCAAAGTCCACCTGGAGAAAAACAAAGACTCACTTGGTCAACACCTGCTGCCTTCACAGCAGAGCAGTGGGAGAGAGGGTAGAGTACGGTAGAAAGCAGACAGGGTAGAGGGCAGCGGGGGTAGAGTACGATAGAGAGCAGACAGGGTAGATTACGGTAGAGAGCAGACAGGGTAGAGTACAGTAGAGAGCAGACAGGGTAGATTACGGTAGAGAGCAGACAGGGTAGATTACGGTAGAGAGCAGACAGGGTAGATTACGGTAGAGAGCAGACAGGGTAGAGTACAGTAGAGAGCAGACAGGGTAGAGTACAGTAGAGAGCAGACAGGGTAGAGTACAGTAGAGAGCAGACAGGGTAGAGTACAGTAGAGAGCAGACAGGGTAGAGTACAATGGAGAGCAGACAGGGTAGATTACGGTAGAGAGCAGACAGGGTAGAGTACGATGGAGAGCAGACAGGGTAGAGTACGGTAGAGAGCAGACAGGGTAGAGTACAGTAGAGAGCAGACAGGGTAGAGTACAATGGAGAGCAGACAGGGTAGAGTACAGTAGAGAGCAGACAGGGTAGAGTACAATGGAGAGCAGACAGGGTAGAGTACAATGGAGAGCAGACAGGGTAGAGTACAATGGAGAGCAGACAGGGTAGAGTACAGTAGAGAGCAGACAGGGTAGAGTACAGTAGAGAGCAGACAGGGTAGAGTCGTACTTTGGCAGAACGGGTGATGGCGGGGATCTCGGAGTAGACGTCTGAGGATTCTGGGTAATTTTCCACCACCAGGTTGCAGGTGTGATGTAACAGAGACTGACGGTGAACTGTGTCCTTCACCTCCACCACCTTCTCCAGGTAACCCAGCTCAAATCCCTTAGCCTGGATACACAGTAACACACACACACACACACACACACACACACACACAGTATCTGATTAAAGCTGCAGTGGAAACAGAAGATGGAGTTCAGTCTGTCCGTTATCTCTAATCTGTGTTTGAACCAACAACACATTTATCTGAACTTCAGTCACTGAACCAGCTGCTGTGGATCATTCTGATAAATTTATCTCTGATCGTAACAATAAATAAATGAAATGTGAGACAACAGGAGTCTTTTCATTCACATTCAGGTAAGAAAACTAAAAGAGTGAGTGAGAAATATAATGTTTAATCAGCAGCTCCTGAAGCTCTGCAGTGTCTTACAGTCAGAGCAGTTTGTGTAGTTTGAATAAAAATCAAATATCATTAATGTGAAGGAAGAACAAAACCTGCAGGCTTCCGTTTCTCCACCACAGAGCCAGAGTCATAGACTGCTGTTAATAATTATCAGTGTCACTGTTTCTGTACTTCAACCCTCATTGGTGATGGAAACAGACGATTCAGTGTTTTGGTTCTCACGTTGGAGCTGTTGAGGAAGTTTCCGATGGCGAGCAGCGTGGCCAGGGTTCTCCTGAAGGTCTGATTGGAGGCCAGCTGCTCCATGCCCAGCTTCAGGTCAAACAGCGGCTCCGCTATCTCCTGCAGGGGGCGACACAGTCACAGTGTGAACCTGCTCAGATGTTTCCCTTCTCAAGGAAACAGGAAGGAAGGTAAAACAAATAAAATAATAAATAAATACAAAACTTAATTAAAATATAAATATCAATTTATGTCACATAAATTAATTAATGTTGACTTTTCTTCAGATTTGAATTCATTTATTTACTGAGTATCTATTTTTGATCTGGGCAGCTTCGGTCCTCCGTACAGTGCAGCCTCACAGGAAGTCCTTTAGTCTTTGTAGTTTGTTTGTAGTTTGCAGTATGTTACCTTCTCCAGGGCCTCGTAGTTGAGTTTAAAGGCCCAGAGCTGCAGGCGGGGGGTCAGGGCGCTGATGGAGGCCAGGCTGAAGAGGAACTGCTCCGCCGTGCCCAGAGGAACGTCAGGATTGGCCAGCTGAGCCTCCTGGATCTTCTGCTTCTCCTCCTCTGTGGGCGTCATGGTCAGGATCTTCTGCTCGGGACAGACGGGTAACAGTTAGTTAACCTGGACTCTAAACCTCGGCACGGCGCCCTCTGCTGACAGGAAGTGGTCTTTACCTCGATCCCCTCCTTGCTAATGGCAAACTCGTCGAAGTTGAGGATGGCGGTCTTGATGACATGGACGGCCGGCAGGACGGTCATACCAATGTTGATGGCGTTGCTTCTCTTTGGGTCCAGAACCAGAATCTCAGACTTCTTAGTCTCAGGTCCTTTCTGAGACATCCCATCAATAATCAATCAAAATAAGATTAAATACACAGAATATATATATATATATATATATATATATATATATATATATATATATATATATATATATATATAAAATAAAAATGTCTGACAAGATCAATAACCCTGAGTCTGTGGTACACGTATGAAAACAGCCTGTCAAACCAAGCCCAGGGCACAGATCTATTATTAATGATCAATAATGTATAATTATTAATGTTCCCTGATAGAAACCAGACAACGTCCTCAGTTCCAGCACATTTTCTCCAGAATATTAATTGTAAGTTTATTAAATTAGTAATTGTACAGTTTGTCTCAGTAGTTTTCTGAGCCCTGAGCAGCGTCTGCAGGTGCTGCTGTCAGGCTGTCACAGCACAGCTCTGCAGTGTCAAATTCTACTAATTCTACTCTCTATTACTTCTAAATGTACTTTCACAATCAGAGTGGTTTGTGCAGTTTAAAGTTCATACAACTGTAAATTGATTATATTCACACACACAGCTGATAAACTGCACAATAAACACAAACAGTGAACTCAGTAACTGCAGGAAGGTTGTGTAAAAGCACCTTTTATACCATCCTCTGTCTGTATTATGTTTATTATACATATTATGTTATATACAGTTTGTTCAGGTCATCAGAGTTTAGAATTTCAATAACACACCTTAATGCAATTAGTTATTTTAACTCTGTTAAACTTGAAACTGTAGTAACACAAACTCAAACATTATTGATTTTATTGATTTATTATTGATTAAGTCACTGTCACTTAAAGTTACTGAAGCTACTTGAACAACAATGTTCTTTTACTTAAAATTCTCAATGTAATCACTTATTTGATTTATTTTTTAGTTAGAGTTTAAAAAGAACTGAAATGAATGAGACAGTGAGGTTCAGACCTACTCTGTATATGGAGCTTGGGCGACCCCTAGCGGGGGTTGGGAACCAGTGGTTTAACCTCCCTTCAGGACTCAGTGATCCTGGTCCAGTACTAAGGTCTACAGTGTGATCCAGCAGTGCACACATCTATATTATATTTATATTGTACATCACATCCTGCTGAATGTGCCCACACTGCCACCTGCTGTTTAACAACCTTAGCATATTAATATTAATATTAACAGTGTGTTTTAGTTTATTGATCTTTTATTTAATATTGTTCTGACAGATTGTTGTTGCCTTTTATTTATAGATTATTTATTGGCGTTATAGAAATAAACTTCTATCTGAATACATTGATGATATAATAATAATGAATATATTTACTGCTGGAGACAAACAGACAGCTGATGTCTGATATATGTGAGCTGAAAGGCTGACAGACGGACTCTGGGGCACAGACGTCGGCTGATCATTTGGCCTCTGGGTGGCGCCAGCAGGACTTTAAATACCTTCCTTATTCCTGAGACACATTCAAACAGCGCCTCCCACAATGCATCTGTTCCTCCGGGCTAAGACTGGTTACCTTGGCAACAGGCAGGTCCTTGGCTTTGGACTCAAACAGGTGTTCAAGTCGGGAGGTGTCCACCGCCACCTTGTCCAGAGACGCCCACACCGTCCCCCGACCAAATCGGCACTTGTGCGGCCCGTCGGCCTGCTTCAGCTCCTTCCAGAACAACTTCACCGTCTTCTTCTTCTGCTTCTGAGAGGACGTCGCCGCCGCTGAGGGAGGAGGAGGAGGAGCACCTGGAGGAGGGGGAGGAGGTGGGGGAGGGGCTAGACCTCCTGGTGGAGGAGGGGGGGAGGAGGAGGGGGAGGAGGAGGAGCACCAACCAGACCCGGGGGAGGAGGAGGTGGAGGGGGAGGGAGGCCGAGGCAGGAGGAGGAGGAGGAGGTGGAGTCGAAGGTGTCCATGTCCAACACGTCGATGTCCTCCTCGTCCAGCAGGTCAGAGAAGTCCAGGTCTTTGATGCGGAGGGCGGCGGCGCTCGGCTGAAGCTGCTCCCAGGCGTCAGCGGGGCCCCCGGGGCCCAGCGGGGTCATCTGGGTGGTCTCCAGCCGGCGGGCGTGGCTCTCCACGTCGATGCTGCTCTGCTGCCGGAGGTGGCGGTTCTGGTGGCGAACAATACAAACACATCACTTTATAAACCCCGCCCCCACACAGCCAGCGTCCAATCACAGCTCAGTGGAACCTAAAAGCTGCTGCGATGTTACTGAAGACAATCAGAGTCTCACTGATGGTGGAAATAAAGGTTTTACTTCCTTAAAACAGCCGTTTTTTGAATGGAGTTTGGTGTGACAGAGTGGATCAATAAACTGAGCTGACCTACCTTCTAATAACAGGAGTTCTGCTCCTAATAGATAAAAAGCAATACAGTATTCTTATTTTACGGGCCAGGGGCTGTGGGCGGGGCCTGGGACTGTGGGCGGGGCAGTGGTAGTGGGCGGGGCCTGGGACTGTGTCCCTCCTCTATGAACTAATAATCTTCCACTGAAACATAAAAACATTCAGACCTGTTGTTCCTCGGCCAGTCGTGCCAGCGCTGCCTGGGCGGAGCCTTCCAGCCCCTCTAGCTCCGCCCTGCGGGAGGCGCTGCTCTCACTGGGGCCGGAGGACTCTACTGAGCGCGCTCTGAAGCTGGACAGACGCTCCAACACACGACCCCGACCACCAAGATCTCCACCTGAGGAAACAGAGAGATCTCACTCTACCTATGTTATAATACCATTAAAATATTTATATATTACATTGCAATATAATATCATTTAATATAATATATAAATAATATAATATAAAATATAATATAATTTATTGTAATAAAATATAATATAATATAATATAATATATAAATAATATAATATAATATATAATATAATTTATTGTAATAAAATATAATATAATTTATTGTAATAAAATATAATATAATATATAAATAATATAATATAATATATAATATAATATAATATAATTTATTGTAATATATATATATATATATATATATATATATATATATATATACACATATACATACACATGACTGTAAAAATAAAGATGTATTGATTGATCTAGTGATTGATTATAGACAGTATCAGCTCTCACTGGGCAGGAAGCTGCTTTCTTCCTCGGTGGTGTTTGGAGCAGCGGCGACCGTCGGGCTCAGCGGCGCTGTGCTGGAGGTCTTAGAGTAGAGCATGTCCAACAGAAACTTCTTGTCATTGGACAGAGTGCTGCACTGCCTCGGTAGAGGGGCTGCAGACAGGCAGACAGGCAGAGAGGCAGACAGGCAGAGAGACAGACAGGCAGAGAGACAGAGAGACAGACAGACAGACGTCATTGATGTGTATTCAACCACAGACACACAGCTCAAAATGCTGTACTATAAACATTAGTATTAATTAATTAGAATATATTGATCAGTAAACTTATTCAGTTTAATTCATTAATAATAATTATTATTAATTCAATAAACAGATGAGTCACTGGATCACCTTACTGCTGCATGAAAGAATAACTGCAGTAACAGCTGTTCTCCAGCAGGTGGCAGACCACCACCACTGAGCTCATTCACTCCTGAGCAGACAGCAGCAGTGCATTGTGGGAAGTGGAGTCTCTTACCGGGGTCAGTCGGAGAGTCTGAGGATCCGTTTGTGCTGCTGGAGGACGAGACTGCAGACGAGAGACAGACGATATGAGCCAGCTGGATAAATATTGATCCATATATTGATCAGCATACATCCATATATTGATCCGCATACATCCATATATTGATCCGCATACATCCATATATTGATCCGCATACATCCATATATTGATCAGCATACATCCATATATTGATCCGCATACATCCATATATTGATCAGCATATATTGATCAGCATACATCCATATATTGATCCGCATACATCCATATATTGATCAGCATATATTGATCAGCATACATCCATATATTGATCAGCATACATCCATATATTGATCAGCATACATCCATATATTGATCAGCATATATTGATCAGCATACATCCATATATTGATCCGCATACATCCATATATTGATCAGCATATATTGATCAGCATACATCCATATATTGATCCGCATACATCCATATATTGATCAGCATACATCCACATATTGATCAGCATACATCCACATATTGATCCGCATACATCCATATATTGATCAGCATACATCCATATATTGATCAGCATACATCCATATATTGATCAGCATACATCCATATATTGATCCGCATACATCCATATATTGATCAGCATACATCCATATATTGATCCGCATACATCCATATATTGATCCGCATACATCCATATATTGATCCGCATACATCCATATATTGATCAGCATACATCCATATATTGATCCGCATACATCCATATATTGATCAGCATACATCCATATATTGATCAGCATACATCCATATATTGATCCGCATACATCAATATATTGATCCGCATACATCCATATATTGATCCGCATACATCCATATATTGATCAGCATAGATTGATCCACATACATCCATATATCCACATATTGATCAGCATACATCCATATATTGATCTGCATAGATTGATCCATATACATCAATATATTGATCCACATACATCCATATATTGATCCATTGATCTGAACATGGTTTCACTTCCTCTCACCTGTCGGCTCTTCGTCCCAGACGCCGCTGCCCTCCTCCGCAGGCTGCAGGCTCGGGGTTACGACATCATCAGATGAGGACAGCCTGGCCTGGCTGAGGTTTTTACTTCTTCTCTTCTTTTCCCACTGCGTGGCTGCCAGGCTGCGCAGGAAGGTGTCTCTGCAGGGAGGAAGGCAGGTGAGCTGGAACCAACATGTCTGGGTCAGACGCTTTCACATGCTGCTGTAAGCTGTAAAACGCTGGATGCATCTATCTGAGCACTGCAACCCCCGATTGACTGATTGATTGATTAATGTATTGACTGACTGATTGATTGATTAATGTATTGATTGACCGATTGATTGATTAATGTATTGATTGACTGATTGTAATTTATGATGATTCGATTATTGAAAAGACAAAATCGTCTGAGATTGGGGTTCGGGGCTCTAATGTGTTTCTCTTATTTCTGAGACCAGCAGACTTTTAACTGAACTGGGTCCCGCCCCTTTCTACTCTGTGCTCCAATCACAGTGGAGCAAGCCTCAGTCAACAGTTCTAGCTAGCTTTTAGCTTCATTACAAAAGAACACAAAAGATGAATTATTTCCCATATAAAGGGGGGTGGGGCTTTGGTGGTGATTAGAGTCTTGGATATTTCAAAGATTAGCAACAAAATTGATTTGATTGCATTAGTATTTTTTATGTAGAGCCAGATACTCCCTCTGGACACCTTCGTGGCTAAAAATGCCTCATTGACTTCCATTAAAACCACTCGTTTTAATCTCACTGTTACAGTATATAACCATACATTCTCTAATGTCAGCATTTCATTTTGAAGAAAAGTAGTGTGTTATGTTAGGTTATAAAAAATGTTTTAAAAGAATGTAGAAAAATGCCAGATGAGGACCTAAGGGTTAACACAGATTAGTTTAGCACATAGCATATCTAAGTACAGGAAAGGAGGAAGTTGACTGAGGTCTGACCGAGGCTCAACTGTGATTGGAGCACAGAGCAGAAAGGGGCGGGGCTTGGGGAGGCTCAGTTTTGTGGACAGCATGTGAAAGCGAACGCAGTCAAACACAAACCTTAAAATCACTTCAAACCAGCGGGAACCCAAAACCAAACCAGCTCCAGGCAGATTAACACCAGCGATTAGACTCCACCATTAAAGTAGAATTAAATGAGAAATAAAGTCACTCACAACTGTAGTTAAGAGGAGAACTAGAGTAAATGTACTACAGTAACCTCACAGCCACAGTACAGTTGAGTCCAGCAATGTAGTTTTGGAGGTGGACCTGGTCCAGGTCTGAGGGAGTCTCAGCTCTGTAATCAGCTGTCTGTGTTTACTGCAGCAGTTCCCCAAAAATTACACAGCTATAAAGTCCTGCAGCAGTTTATGAGTTTCTATTGTTCTGATCTGAACCTCAGGAGGACAACACACCCAGGTCCAGGTCCAGGACCAGGAGGCAGAGACAGAGAGGAGAAAGCAACAGCACAAAAGAGGTTTTCTGTGCTGAGACCAGACCAGGAAGTGAAGCTTTCATTTACTGATCAGCAGTTTGATTGAGTTTAAATGTTCAACACCAATCACACACACACACACACACACACACACACACACACACACACACACACACACACACACACAGAGCGAGGTCCCAGCAGAGCCCGGGCTGTCCCCCCTCCAGCTCCCAGCATTGCAGCAACATGCAGTGGGGCCACAGCAGTACTTACGCAAACCTCCTCAGAACCGGCTTGTCTGGATTTACATTACAGTCGTCTGAGCTGCAGAGACACAACACAGAGCTGAGACACACACACACACACACACACACACACACACAGAGCTGAGACACACACACACACACACACACACACACACACACACACAGAGCTGAGACACACACACACACAGAGCTGAGACACACACACACACACACACACAGAGCTGAGACACACACACACACACACACACACACACACACACACACACACACACACACACACACACACACACACACACAGCTGAGACACACACACACACACACACACACACACAGAGCTGAGACACACACACACACACACACACAGAGCTGAGACACACACACACACACACACACACACACACACACACACACGAGCTGAGACACACACACACACACAAACACACACACACAGAGCTGAGACACACACACACACACACACACACACACACACACACAGAGCTGAGACACACACACACACACACACACACACACAAGAGCTGAGACACACACACACACCCACGCACACAGAGCTGAGACACACACACACACACACACACACACACAGACACACATAGGGCTGAGACACACACACACACACACACACACACACACACACACAGAGCTGAGACACACACACACACCCACACACACAGAGCTGAGACACACACACACACACACACACACACACACAGAGCTGAGACACACACACACACACACACACACACACACAGAGCTGAGACACACACACACACACGCACACACACACACACACACACACACACACACCCCCACACACACACACACAGAGCTGAGACACACACACACACACACACACACACACAGAGCTGAGACACACACACACACACACACACACACACACACAGACACAGACACACACAGAGCTGAGACACACACACACACACACACACACACACACACACACACACACACACACACACACACAGAGCTGAGACACACACACACACACACACACACACAAAGACTGAGACACACACACACAGACACACACACACAGAGCTGAGACACACACACACACACGCACACACACACACACACACACACACACACACACACACACAACACACAGAGCTGAGACACACACACACACACACACACACACAGAGCTGAGACACACACACACACACACACACACACACACAGACACAGACACACACAGAGCTGAGACACACACACACACACACACACACACACACACACACACAGTCTACACTGATCCATACACTGATCAATAAGACCAGGACGATGCACACACGGCAGAAAGCCTCCAAAAACTACCATGGCAACAAGGTTTCCCATCATCCTCTCTGCTCAGAGCAGACACACTCTCAATTGCATAAAAAGGAGAGGAGGAGGAGGAAGAGGAGGAAGAGGAGGAGGAAGGAGAGACGTGTACTCACCAGAAAGGCTGGTCATCCTCCCCAGAGCTGGGGGAGGAACGAGGGAAATGGAAAAGAGAGAGAGAGAAAGATTAGAGCAACAGACAGAACAATATAATGCAGACAGACAGTTAACAGACAGAGAGACAGACAGAGAGACAGTTAACAGACAGACAGACAGACGGAAAAGATCCAGGAATGATAAAGAAATGATTGAGAGACCCAGAAAGGATTCAGAAATTAACCAGATATAATTAAAATATTATCTAGAGATTATGTAAAGATAATCTAAAGATAATCTCAGAGACAATCCAGAAATTAACCACATATTATGTAAAGATAACCCAGAGATAATGTTATAAGGAGTACGGTCTAGAACTGCTTTATTTGAAAAGTGTCCTGAGATAATGTCTTTTATCAATTGGTTAGATAATCTCACAGATAATCTCAGAGATAATCTCACAGATAATCTCAGAGATAATGTCAGAGATAATCTCAGAGATAATGTCAGAGATAATGTCAGAGATAATGTAGAGATGATGTAGAGATGATCTCAGAGATAATGTAGAGATAATGTAGAGATGATGTAGAGATAATGTAGAGATGATGTAGAGATAAAGTAGAGATAATGTAGAGTAATGTAGAGATAATGTAGAGATAATGTAGAGATGATGTAGAGATAAAGTAGAGATGATCTCAGAGATAAAGTAGAGATGATGTAGAGATAAAGTAGAGATAATGTAGAGATAATGTAGAGATAATGTAGAGATAATGTAGAGATGATCTCAGAGATAATGTAAAGATAATGTAGAGATAATCTCAGAGATAATAAAGATGATCCAGGGAAGATTTCAGACATCTCCACAGTCCCGACTGAATGATCCCACAGACAGAAACAGCTCCAGTCTCTTAGTACAGAATTAAACCAGATCAATAACTCAAGAGGGACAGCAGTCAGATAAACGACTGCATGAGACCAGTACAACCAGGTTGAAATGTACATCCTACAAAACATCAAAAACACAGTAATATGTTACGTTACCATGGTTACCAGTACAGTCCAGTACAGTCCAGTACATCCCAGTACAGTACAGTCCATCTGCTTCACTTACTTGAAACTGGTTTTAGTCTCCGTCTTGTTGCCGGGCGGCTCCGGGTTCAACTGGGACAACTTCTCCTGGTGAGAGAGGTCTGAGGAGGGCGAGCTGCACACACACACACACACACACACACACACACACACACACACACACACACACACACACACACACACACACACAGTCAGTGAGCCGCCAGGATGAGACAGACTCTGGTTTTAAAACATAATTTTCTGCCAGTTCATTCCTCTGCAGGTCTCTGCTGTTACACACACACACACTACACGCCCACACACTGTTGTACACAACATTACACACATGTGACACTGTTAAAGCTTCTATATATGAGATATTAAACATTATATTCGCTATATCCACAGTCACATGGTGTGTCTCTCTCCCTCTGCCTGTGTTGTATCGCAGCAGGATTTATTTCCACCAAACCAGAGTTGGTGATTGTTGGAAACAGAGACGGTTTAATCAGTTTGATTCTGTTTCTGTCCACTTTGAATGAACTTACGATGATCTGAAGGTAAAATTAGTGTTTTTATGAATGGAGTCTGGTGGGCAGTAGCATAGATAGATAGATAGATAGATAGATAGATAGATAGATAGATAGATAGATAGATAGATAGATAGATAGATAGATAGATAGATAGATAGATAGATAGATAGAAATTGGGTCATAGCAGCCAGGTACATTTAAATACAATAAATAGAATAAAATACTTAGGTAAAAAAGATAAAAAAGATAAATAGGTAGATAAGGTGCAAAGAAGTTGTAGTTGCAAGATAGTGGTCATAGTACTGATGATATGATGGTAGTATTATTGTTAATAACAGTATATAATAATAATAATAATAATAATAATAATAATAATAATAATAATAATAATATGTATATATAATATGATGACTGAACATCCATTGGTTTGGTCAGTGTCTTATATATATATATATAACCTTTAATGTGTGTGAATAACACATAAAGTATTATTAATTATGGATATTCAATAATACTACCTAACCCTAGATCACAGATCCTCTGCCCACTGTGGCCTGCAGGGGGCGCTAACAGCAGCAGCTAACAGCAGCAGCTAACAGACCTGCCGGCGGCTGGCAGCTCCTCACTGATGGAGTTGGTTTTGGAGAAGAGCCTCGACTTCCTGCTCAGACCCAGAGCAGACATATGGTGGCTCAGGAAAGAGCGACTCCTAGTGGTTGAGAGACACCACAGCACACAAAGAGACAGAGAGAGAGAGAGAGAAAGCGAGAGAGAGAGAGAGAGAGAGAGAAAGCGAGAGAGAGAAAGTGAGAGAGAGAGAGACCACAGCACACAAAGAGAGAGAGAGAGAGAGAGAGAGAAAGCGAGAGAGAGAGAGAGAGAAAGTGAGAGAGAGAGAGAGAGAAAGAGAGACCACAGCACACAAAGAGAGAGAGAGAGAGAGAGAGAGAGAGAGAGAGAGAGAGACAGAGATAGAGAGAGAGAGAGAGAGAGAGAGAGAGATTAAACCGACACCAAGTCACCCGAAATCAGAATCAGAACCAGATCCCAGATCCCAGACAGACAGACAGACAGACAGACAGACAGACAGACAGACAGACAGACAGACAGACAGACTCTGGTCCTGTGATTAGAGCTAACAATGACTTTTATTATTGATAACTCTACAGATTATTCTCTCTATCTATTGATTGATTGTATATTATATGTAACATACTATGTTTATGTTTATGTGAAACAATCAATAAATGGCCAAATAAATAATTGATAAACTAATCAATTAATAATAACTGACTGTAACATTATTGATCTGAGCGCTGTAATAACTGTGGACACTGAGTTCCTGCAGAGACCAAACATGAGCAGAAATGTTCTTTACGTGCCACCGAGGACAAACATTCCTGCTGCTTGAACTCACAGAAAAGCTGTTTCCAAATAAAACACGTTGCTGCTCAGCCCCTCAGTCTAAACTTGGTAAAGCTCAGAGAGCAGCTAACAACCAGCCCCATTACTTCTACTATAACCCCGGGGGGGGGCAGTAACTGTGACAGAGTGTCAGCAAAGCGCTGTACACACACTGTACACACACACTGTACACACAGTACACACACAGAGTACACACACAGAGTACACACACACACACACACACACACACACACAACACACACACACACACACACACACACACAGTACACACAGAGTACACACACACAACACACAGAGTACACACAGAGTACACACACACACACACAGAGTACACACAGAGTACACACAGAGTACACACAGAGTACACACACACACAGAGTACACACCCACACACACACACACACACACACACACACACACACACACACACACAGTACACACACACACACACACAGTACACACACAGTACACCCACACACACACAGTACACCCACACACACACACAGTACACACACAGTACACACACAGTACACACACACACACACAACACACACACACACACACACACACACACACGGTTTGATGAACTTACGGGCTGGACGGTGTCTTTGCTTCCTGCTCTGTGGTCGTGGTACCATTGGGGGCTGTGTGGGGGGGCAGAGGAGACCCTCGCTGGGATCCGGATGGACTAGAGTTGGCGCTGCCGGGGTCAGAGGTTAGTGGGGATGAGGCCCTGCTGCCCAACCCTGCCGTGGGGCTGTGGGAAGAGGCGGAAGAGATTGTGGGGGATAAGGGGGTGTTGGCAGTGGAGGGGGAGAGGAAGGCTGGGGGTGTGGGGGAGGCGGAGGGGGAGGAGCCTGTGGAGGAGGACAAGAGGTCAGGGAGGTTTTGGCTCGACGAGCGGCGGCTCTTTCGTCCCTCCTGCTCGCCGGCGGCCATCTTTCTTCTCTCTTTACGGAGGTGAAGGGAGGAATCGTCTATCTCACCGTCCTCGTTCTTCAGAGCTGTCTGAAACACAGAGACTGTGGTTACTGTGGTTGTTGTTGTTGTTACTGTGGTTGTTGTTGTTACTGTGGTTGTTACTGTGATTGTGTTTGTTATTGTGGTTGTTGTTGTTACTGTGGTTGTTGTTACTGTGGTTGCTGTGGTTATTGTTGTTGTTACTGTGGCTGTTGTTGTTACTGTGGTTGTTGTTGTTACTGTGGTTACTGTGGTTACTGTGGTTGTTGTTGTTACTGTGGTTGTTGTTGTTTATACTGTGACTGTGGTTGTTACTGTGGTTGTGTTTGTTACTGTGGTTGTTGTTGTTACTGTGGTTGTTGTTGTTACTGTGGTTGAGGTTGTTACTGTGGTTAAGGTTGTTACTGTGGTTGTTGTTGTTACTGTGTTTGTTACTGTGATTGTGTTTGTTACTGTGGTGGTTGTTGTTGTTACTGTGGTTGTGTTTGTTACTGTGGTTGTTGTTACTGTGGTTGTTGTTGTTACTGTGGTTGTTGTTGTTGTTACTGTTGTTACTGTGGTTGTTGTTACTGTGTTTGAGGTTGTTGTTACTGTGTTTGTTGTTACTGTTGTTGTTGTTGTTGTTGTTACTGTGGTTGTTGTTGTTACTGTGGTTGTTGTTTATACTGTGACTGTTGCTGTTACTGTAGTTGTTGTTGTTACTGTAGTTGTTGTTGTTACTGTGGTTGTGTTTTACTGTGGTTGTGTTTGTTACTGTAGTTGTTGTTACTGTGGTTGAGTTTGTTACTGTGGTTGTTGTTACTGTGGTTGAGGTTGTTACTGTGGTTGTTGTTACTGTGGTTGAGGTTGTTACTGTGGTTGTTGTTGTTACTGTGGTTGTTGTTGTTACTGTGGTTGTTGCTACTGTGGTTGTTACTGTGATTGTTGTTGTTACTGTAGTTGTTGTTACTGTGGTTGTTACTGTGATTGTTGTTGTTACTGTGGTTGTTACTGTGGTTGTTGTTACTGTGGTTGTGTTTGTTACTTTGGTTGTTGTTGTTGTTACTGTGGTTGTTACTGTGGTTGTTGTTGTTACTGTGGTTGTTGTTGTTACTGTGGTTGTTACTTTGATTGTTTTTGTTACCGTGGTGGTTGTTGTTACTGTGGTTGTTGTTGTTACTGTGGTTGTTACTGTGATTGTGTTTGTTACTGTGGTGGTTGTTGTTACTGTGGTTGTTGTTGTTACTGTGGTTGTTGTTGTTACTGTGGTTGTGTTTGCTACTGTGGTTGTGTTTGCTACTGTGGTTGTGTTTGTTACTTGGGTTGTTGTTGTTACTGTGGTTGTTGTTGTTACTGTGTTTGAGGTTGTTGTTACTGTGTTTGTTGTTGTTACTGTGGTTGTTGTTTATACTGTGACTGTTGCTGTTACTGTAGTTGTTGTTGTTACTGTAGTTGTTGTTGTTACTGTGGTTGTGTTTTACTGTGGTTGTGTTTGTTACTGTAGTTGTTGTTACTGTGGTTGTGTTTGTTACTGTGGTTGTTGTTGTTACTGTGGTTGAGGTTGTTACTGTGGTTGTTGTTGTTACTGTGATTGTGTTTGTTACCGTGGTGGTTGTTGTTACTGTGGTTGTTGTTGTTACTTGGGTTGTTGTTGTTACTATGGTTGTTGTTGATACTGTGGTTGTTGTTGTTACTGTGGTTGTTGCTACTGTGGTTGTTGTTGTTACTGTGGTTGTTGCTACTGTGGTTGTTACTGTGATTGTTGTTGTGGTTGTTGTTACTGTGGTTGTGTTTGTTACTGTGGTTGTTGTTGTTGTTACTGTGGTTGTTACTGTGGTTGTTGTTGTTACTGTTGTTGTTGTGGTTGTTGTTGTTACTTTGGTTGTTACTGTGGTTGTTATGGTTGTTACTGTGGTTGTGGTTGTTACTGTGGTTGATGTTGTTACTGTTTTTGTTGTTACTGTGTTTGTTGTTACTGTGGTTGTTGTTGTTACTGTGGTTGTTGTTTATACTGTGACTGTTGCTGTTACTGTTGTAGTTGTTGTTACTGTAGTTGCTGTTGTTACTGTGGTCGTATTTTACTGTAGTTGTTGTTACTGTGGTTGTTGTTGTTTATACTGTGACTTCCTCAGGTTGTTGTTACCTCGTAGATGGTGAACTGTGCTCGGAGGTCTGGTTCTGTCCCCTTGTTCTTCATGTGTTTGTGGATGATGGTCTCCATCCCCAGCTGCTCCAGACTGTCTGTCACATCGTAGAACGAGTCCTGGTCAGGGAGCACTGCTAGAGTCTGACAGACAGACAGAGAGACAGCCAACCAGAGAGACAAAGAGACAGAGAGACAGAGACACAGAGAGACAGTCAGAGAGAGAGACAGAGAGACAGAGGGACAGAGAGACAGACAGAGAGCACATGAATAATAAAATAGTTTCAAAGCTACTCAACATTTCAAGTCTGACCTCACCGACTGTTTGTTTACCTTACTGTTTGTTTACCTTACTGACTGTTTACCTTGTTGATGAGCGTCATGGCGAACATGAGGAGCTCTGTGTCGGAGCCGTTTCTCTCCTCCAGGACTTCCATCATATAACTCCACGGCTTCACACCTACACACACACACACACACACACACACACACATATTATATATTATATATTATTATAGATGTTTGCACAAGTTTTATCTCCTGCTGTTTATTTTTCAATTCAATTCAATTCAATTTTATTTGTATAGCGCCAATTCATAACAGAAGTTATCTCAGGACACTTTTCAAATAGAGCAGGTCTAGACCGAACTCTTTATAACATTATTTACAGAGACCCAACAGTACCACCATGAGCAATATTATATTATTATAGATATATTTTAATGTTTACATCTGATTCATTTTCAGTCCTCTAATGAGAACATGTGTGTCTGTGTGTGCCTGTCTGTCTGTCTGTCTGTCTGTCTGTCTGTGTGTCTCTCTCTCTCTCTCTCTCTCTCTCTATTACTAAATATATAAATTAAAATAAAATAGATAGATAAAACTGTAAACGTGTGTGTGTGTGTGTGTGTGTGTATTAAAAAGCAACAACAACAAAAAAAACAACTAAAACAATCAATTATTTTATACATTTACAGAGTTTCCACTGGTTGTCCTCAGTTCGTGGCATGAGGAGACATATTTTGCTGCAATAATTTGACTTTGGGGCATTTCTCCCAGTAAATAGGGGAGTTTCTGTGTGTCTGATAATAATTTGAATTCGGGGTATATTTGGGAAATGTTTGCGAATTGTTTTTCTCTTAAAGTTTTGAATTTAGGGCATGAGGTTAGAAAGTGCAGCTCTGTCTCTACCTGTCCTCTGTCACACTGGGAGCAGAGTCTCTCCTCTTCTGGTAGCCAGTTCTGTCTGTGGCGACCCGTTTCTATGGCCAGGCTGTGTTCACTCAGTCTGTACATTGTCAACATTGTTCTTAGTTTAAGACATTTTATTGTGATCAGGTAATTTGCCAGTGTGAATCCTCTTTTTAGGGTCAGATAACATTGTAATTTACTTTGTGTTTTGGTCGATTCTTTCCAGTATTCAATATATTTTTCTTTTTGCTTGTTGATAATTTGGTTTGGTCTGATTGAGTTGGTGTTGCTGTCCTGAGGCTGTTGGGGACATGTTACTGCAGAGAGCCTCAGGACCAGCTGGCTGAGGGGACTCTTCTCTGGTTTCAGCTCCTGGTATGTTAGGGCTTTGTGATGGTATGTCTGGGGGTTAACTGATTTTAAGTGATTGTAAAATTGAATTGATCTTTTCTGTATTTTTAGTAGGAGGGGGTATTGGCCGAGCTCTGCTCTGCACAGATTATTTGGTGTTTTTCTCTGCACCTGCAGGATGCTCTTACAGAACTCGCTGTGGAAAGATTCTATGGTTGTTTTGTCCCATTTGTCAAATTCATTATTTAGTTTTGGTCCCCAAATTTCGCTGCCATATAGAATTATTGGTTCTAGTACAAATCGGAAAATTTTAAGCCAGATTTGGATTGGAATATAGATTTTAATGTTTCTCTTTATTGCATAGAAAGCTCTCCTTGCTTTGTCCCTCAGATCTTTCACAGCCATGTTGAGGTTTCCTGTGTATGTAATGTTGAGGCCAAGGTAAGTGTAGTTTTTTGTATGTTGTAATTTAGTGGTGTCTAAAAAGAAATTGTGTGTAACCTGATTTCTGTATTGTTTCTGAAAGATCATTATCTTAGTCTTTGCTGTGTTTACTGTCAGGGCCCAGGTCTGACAAAATCTCTGCAGGAGATTAAGGTGCTGCTGCAAACCTTCTTTAGTAGGTGAAAGCAACACTAAGTCATCTGCATACAGCAGACCTCTGATCTCTGTGTCGTTCAGGGTGAGGCCAGGTGCCGTGGAACGCTCTAGTTGGTTCACTAACTCATTGATATATAGATTGAAGAGAATTAGACTGAGATTGCATCTCTGCCTCACTCCCCGGCCCTGGGAGAAGAACGCTGTTTGTTTGTTTCCAATGTTTACGGCACATTCACTTTTTGTATACATGTTCTTAATCAGATCATATGTTTTTCCTCCAATGCCACTTTCAAGTAGCCTATAGAAAAGGCCCTCGTGCCAGATGGAATCAGGCTTTTTTGAAGTGGTCAGGTCATACCTTTCTTTTCTTAATTTTTAATTCTTGATCAGTTAAAGTCTGGAGGGTAAATATATGGTCCGTTGTGTGGCAATTTGGCAAGAAGCCAATTTGTCATTTATGCAGAATATTGTGGTCATCAAGAAAGTTGACAAGTCGTTTATTAATGATGTTGCAGAGTATTTTTCCCAGGTTACTGGAGACACATATTCCTCTGTAGTTATTTGGATCATATTTATTTCTGGATTTATGAATTGGGGTTATTAAACCTTTGTTCCAGATGTCTGGAAAAGCTCCAGTTGACAGAATAGTATTGAATGAATTTCAAAACACTCTAAATCTAGAATCACTTCCACCTTTCAATACTTTTAAAAACCTTTTAAAGTCAACTCTGACAGAACAATGTAATTGTTTTTAACTAGGTGCCCTTTAAGTTGTATGTCTGTATTAGCTTAAGTTAAGTGTAATGCCTTGTTTGTGTTCTAGCACGTATAGTGTATGTACAGAGAAACTTTTTGCCGCCAGTCCTGGCCAGGACTCCCTGGGAGAAGAGTTACTGTAACTCAATGGGACTTTTCCTGGTTAAATAAAGGTTAAATAAAATAAAAATTGAATAGTTTCAGTATAGCCAATCTGATTTTATGGTCTGAGTATTTGATCATTTCGTTGAGGATTCCATCAATACCACAAGCCGACTGGGACTGGATGACTTCTGTTAATTCTTGTTCTGTTACTGGGTAATCTAGAGGGTTTTGGTTGTTTTTTATCACTGCCTCCAGAGTTTTCAATTTCGTGTATATCTTGTACTGATCATCAGTACAAGATACTCTGTGTCTCTCTGTGTGTCTCTCTCTGTGTGTGTCTCTCTCTCTCTCTGTGTGTGTGTGTGTGTGTGTGTGTGTGTGTGTACCTCTCTTCCCGTCCACTGTGTTGACGGCGCTGATGAGCAGAGGACTGTTGGACTCTGAATATTCCACGAAGACGATGAGCAGCTTCAGAGAAGTTTTCACCACCAGACGAGACTGCAGAGAGACACAGGGTCAGTGTTTGTCCAGCAGGTGGTGCCACCGCTCTATCACTGCTCTCATCCACTCCTTCCACAGGAAACTCCATTAACCCTCAACATCCTGCACTCAGTGGGACTGGATCATAGGACGGGGATAGTTATTGATTTCTGATTTCGCTCAGATCAGAGAACAAACATCCGGTTTTCAATAAAGGGATCAATATCCTATAATCTGATTAGATGTACTACTATCGTAATACTATCGATCACTGATCAATATTAAAGAAGGCTTCCTATCATCATTATATGATATGATATCAATATATAGTCTGTCTGTCCCTGATCAACCCTGATTGATCAGGTTTCTGAGGGGGGAGGGGGGGTTGTGAGGACTCACCAGACTTCCTGTCAGCGTGTAGAGCCACTGAACCGTCTCACTGTGGGCGATCACTCCATTCATACCGTCCACAAACAGCATGATCTGACTAAGAGCTGACAGACAGGCAGAGAGTCAGACAGAGAGAGAGACAGAGAGACAGACAGACACAAAGACAGACACACACACAGACAGACAGGCAGGCAGACAGGCACACAGACAGACAGACAGACAGACGGGCAGGCAGACAGGCAGGTTTCCATAGACGGCTCCAGCAGCTCCAGAGCAGTCTATAATCTGCAGTGCTGACTCAGCTCTGTGGGGTGGAGAGTTTCCATCAGTCTCTGTTTGAGTCCTCAGGTCGGATTCACTCTCTCAGGCCCCAATGAGGAACCCGCCCCGAGGAGGAACCCGCCCGAGGAGGAACCCGCCCCGAGGAAGAACCCGCCCGAGGAAGAACCCGCCCCGAGGAGGAACCCGCCCGAGGAGGAAACCGCCCCGAGGAAGAACCCGCCCCGAGGAGGAACCCGCCCCGAGGAAGAACCCGCCCCGAGGAAGAACCCGCCCCGAGGAGGAACCCGCCCCGAGGAGGAACCCGCCCCGAGGAGGAACCCGCCCCGAGGAAGAACCCGCCCCGAGGAAGAACCCGCCCCGAGGAGGAACCCGCCCCGAGGTGGAACCCGCCCCGAGGAGGAACCCGCCCCGAGGAGGAACCCGCCCCGAGGTGGAACCCGCCCCGAGGAGGAACCCGCTGCAGCTGAGGCTAGGACAGGTATGCTATATGCTATATGCTATATGCTAGGGTTAGTGCCCCGTGAGAGTCAGCGGGGGGCGTTCAGGGCCTGAAACAGCCGGATGGTGACAGTGAACATTAAGGGTGAAACACTGTGATAACGAAGGATTCAGGACCACAGACCGGCTCCGGCCTGCAGCCCGTCTCACCTCTCAGGATGTAGTTCTGGTAGTTGTGGTCGGCCTCCGCTCCAACTTTAATGAAACACGTCAAACCCTCAGAGGCCACAAACTCTGGAACCAGGTCTTTATCATCCTGCACACAGAACACAGTGGACGTGTCATCCTGCTCTCTCTTCTTCACTGACTGATTTAATGTTTATGGAAGCTCATTTCTGCCAATGTGACGGATAAAAAGATTCTCCTCTCCGTACATAAGACGCTGGACTTTTACCTGGAACAGCTGTTTGAGAGAGAACAGAGAGCGTCTGAGCTCCGGACCCTGAGAGTTATACAGCTTCTCTGAAACACACAAAGAAGAAACACAGGAAGTCAGTGTGCAGGCTGAATGATGTCATAGCTTCTGTGTGTTGGTGGAGGATGACATCATCTGCAGCTAACTGATGAACTGCTGGCAGCCTGCGGGGGGGTGGGGGGTACATGGAGAGTGAATTCAGGGGGTTAATAGACTTTAAACAATGAGAGGCTTCTTCCACTTCCTGTTTGTTCCCCTCAGAGGTCAGAACCCCGGTTCCTTCTGTGGAACCGAGTTCATACAGCAGAGAGACTCCTCAACCAAAACTACACACAGACCTGCACAAACACTAACACCACTAACACTGCTTCGGACCTGGAAGTGAACCTAATGAGACTTTCAGGTTAATAAGAGAGAAAAGGAAGTTTTCAGTTTTCGGATCCACTGAAACACAAACTGCAGAGAATAAACAGCTCCTGAGGAAATAACTCGTGAAACTAATCAGAGTAAAACTAAGGATCTGAAACTGAAATAATAAAGTTAGTAACCACAGCAAGTCATGGGAGTCTGTTGTCATGGCAACAAGGAATATATATCCACAGCTGAACACTGCTACGATGGCTTCATCATGATCAATAACTCCGATTAACCTGCTGCTTCAGTGCCAGCATCCAACACACTCCTGATCAATAACTCTGATCGTGTTGTTGCCAGCAGAAATGTTCCTGTAGCAGTTTGTTGTGTTTGTGGGACTCAGACTGTTTACTGAGGAGTAAACAGGAAGCTGTGGTCGTACTGTTTATCTCTCTCAGTGTAAATCATCGGCACTGTGAGCAGCAGGATTCTCTCGGACCACCACAGAGGCTGCTGACTCATCATTGTATTGATTATTGATTGATTATGTCGTCCTCCAGGCTCAGATACAGCAGCAGTTATTCTGACGTGATGATGAACTCTTTGACACTCTGCTGTCGACTGAGTGCACAAACATCTCACAGGAGGACGAGACATTTCTAAAGTCAGAACACACACAGCTGGGAGAGAGTGTTAATAAAGTTGTGTGTTTGTACAGTGTTAATAAAGTTGTGTGTTTGTACAGTGTTAATAAAGTTGTGTTTGTACAGTGTTAATAAAGTTGTGTTTGTACATTGTTAATAAAGTTGTGTTTGTACAGTGTTAATAAAGTTGTGTTTGTACAGTGTTAATAAAGTTGTGTGTTTGTACAGTGTTAATAAAGTTGTGTTTGTACAGTGTTAATAAAGTTGTGTGTTTGTACAGTGTTAATAAAGTTGTGTGTTTGTACAGTGTTAATAAAGTTGTGTGTTTGTACAGTGTTAATAAAGTTGTGTGTTTGTACAGTGTTAATAAAGTTGTGTGTTTGTACAGTGTTAATAAAGTTGTGTGTTTGTACAGTGTTAATAAAGTTGTGTGTTTGTACAGTGTTAATAAAGTTGTGTGTTTGTACAGTGTTAATAAAGTTGTGTGTTTGTACAGGATAAAAAGTTGTGTTTGTACAGTGTTAATAAAGTTGTGTGTTTGTACAGTGTTAATAAAGTTGTGTGTTTGTACAGTGTTAATAAAGTTGTGTTTGTACAGTGTTAATAAAGTTGTGTGTTTGTACAGTGTTAATAAAGTTGTGTGTTTGTACAGTGATAATAAAGTTGTGTGTTTGTACAGTGTTAATAAAGTTGTGTGTCTGTACAGTGTTAATAAAGTTGTGTTTGTACAGTGATAATAAAGTTGTGTGTTTGTACAGTGTTAATAAAGTTGTGTGTTTGTACAGTGTTAATAAAGTTGTGTTTGTACAGTGTTAATAAAGTTGTGTCTGTACAGTGTTAATAAAGTTGTGTTTGTACAGTGTTAATAAAGTTGTGTCTGTACAGTGTTAATAAAGTTGTGTTTGTACAGTGTTAATAAAGTTGTGTTTGTACAGTGTTAATAAAGTTGTGTTTGTACAGTGTTAATAAAGTTGTGTGTTTGTACAGTGTTAATAAAGTTGTGTTTGTACAGTGTATTTATTGGATTTGATACAAAAATACAAAGTTTTTGTCGTTCTCTGTCAGACGTTGTTTAAATTCAATTTTCAATTTTAATTCAATTCAGTTTTATTTGTATAGCGCCAATTCATAACAGAAGTTATCTCAGGACACTTTTCAAATAGAGCAGGTCTAGACCGAACTCTTTAACATTAATTACAGAGACCCAACAGTACCACCATGAGCAAGCACTTGGCGACAAGGGCAAGGAAAAACTGCCTGTTAAAAGGCAGAAACCTAGGACAGATCCTCCGGCTCTAGGTGGGTGGTCGTCTGTCTCGACCAGTTGGGGTGAGAGAGAGAGAGAGAGAGAGAGAGAGAGAGAGAGAGAGAGAGAGAGAGAGAGAGAGAGCGACAGACAGACAGACAGGTGCACGCCATTTCCTTTATTGTTTGTTGTAGGAAACAATATAACTGAGGATGAGATCTTAAAGGGTTAAAATTAAATTTTTCATTTCAGCTGGAATTCAATGCTAACACTGGATAAAAAAAAATAATGCGTGGCCACGCGTTATTATCTGGCAACGAGATAATAATGTGTGCATTGTTTGTATTTATCCAGTGTCACCAGGGGGCTCCGTACTAACGCTTGCTAACTAGCTAACTATAGCTCGATATAGATTAGCTAGCACTTCATTTCAGTGCTCAGGTCATCAGACCAGAGGAGGAGAATGAAACCAAAATGTATTTTATATTCCTGTTTGCACCGTGGGTCTGAAAGTTCATCTGTGCTGTATGTCTGTATATATTTAGCATATTTGACAATAAAGCTGACTTTGACTCTGGAGGACTTCAACTCTAAATTCTCCTGTAATCGCTCAGTTTGTCATTTCAAACTAAATGACATGCAAACAGAGGATGGATGAATAGTTTGAGACGTGTGAAACAAACAGATTACAGACGAGGATCCCTGCGGAGCTCCGGTTTCTGTCCACAACAACGAGTTAAATAAAGCTCAGTCAGACTGACTGACAGCGCGTCTGTTCACTGACAGCTACCACAGAGTCAGATATAATTCCCTTCATGCTACTTTAAATAAACAAGTATTATTATTATTATATTATTATTATTATTATTAGGGACCGAGCCAGCGACCGCTGGAGGTGGGGATATTCTATGCGTCGCTTTCAGGTCAGCCACTAGGTGGCGCTACTATAATAAAAAATGCGTTTAGGCTAATAACTTCTGCATAGTTCGTCGCACATTCAAGAACCTTATATCCATGCGTTCGGTGAATGGAGCTGAATCTCCCCATATAGGCCCCGCCCACTTCCGCCAATAATTTTTTTTTTCGAGAGCACGAAATGTCCATAAACTACTTTTCCATGTTCCCCCCATGCTCTTTGTCCGATTCGCACAAGATTTTTCACGTAGCATCTGGGGACCGTCCTTATAAAAAAGTAATTAAAAGAATTTTGATATTAAAAAAAATAAGCATGTTATAAAATTAACACTTCCTGTGGATTTTTCGTCAAAAAAGGAAGTGGACCATTTCTCCACATTGGTATGTCCGATTGACACCAAACTTGGATCGATAGTTCCTCATGTCTTCTTTAGGCACCGTGCACAATTTCAGGCCATCACCACTAGGTGGCGCTCTTTAAAATGTTTATATCTCTGCAACAGCACATGTGATTAAAATTAAACTTGATACAACGTGTGCTCATGGCTCTCTGAGGCTCCCTAAAACATGTGTCAACAATCCGCCACTAGGTGGCGCTCTGGTGGCAGGGTAAATCACTGTACGGAGACCGTAATAGTTATGAATATGAAATTCACAGGGCACGTGTAGAGTTGTGCCTGTAGCTCACATACCAAAAATCGTGTTTGTCGTGTTTGTAGCGCCCCCTACAGGATTTCAAAAATGCAGCCCCAGGGCCAAGTTTCACGGATATGTATGAAACTTAGTAGGCACGTGTAACATGCCGAGACGTACAAAAAAGCCTCTTGGACCCATACCCCAAATCTCAAGGGAAGTTGGTCATTTTGATTTTGATTTTGATTTTCACCTTCGGCGAATTTTTCGCCTTGTATTTGAACTGACTCCTCCTCGGGAATTTATCAGATCTGCTTCAAAATTAGTCAGTACAGTCAACATATGTTGTTGAGTTGTGCTATTTGTGACTGTACATTGAAGGGCGTGTCTGTGCTGTGCCGTGCTGTCAAAGTTGGCCATGTTGAATTTTGCAGCCATTTTCTGAAATTTTTTCGCCTTGCATTTGAACCAACTCCTCCTAGGGAATTTATCAGAACTACTTCAAAATTGGTCAGTACAGTCAAAAAAAGGTGCTGATTAAAAGTTGCGCTATTTCAGACTGTACGTTGAAAGGCGTGTCTGTGGTGTGCCGTCAAAGTTGGCCATTTTGAATTCTGTGGTCATACAAACTGTAGATGAAAAGTTGAGCTATTTGTGACTGTACGTCAAACCGCGTGCCAGGGATGACTTGTCGAATTCAGCCGATTCGCCATAAAACAGCACTCATAACTTCAGTGTGCACTGTCCAATCTCCAATAAACTTCATATATTCTGTAACATTCCGCCCTGAACACGTCCTCATAACTTCAGCGTACGTGGTCCAATCTCAATGAAACTTCACGTGCTCGATAAGAGTCCCGCCGTTAACACATCTACATGACAATATTAAGACATAGTAATAGCGCCACCTACTGGCAAAAGGAAGTAAGCGCTGCGTGGCGATTTTGAGCTGATTTACGTGAAATTTTCATGTTGTGGTCTGCACGTGTAACAACAGCACGGGACGCATCCGCAGCACACCCCGAGTTGTGTGGAGGTCCCACCAAACGCTGTTTGCAGCTTTAATTATTATTATTATTATTATTTTTATTATTATTATTATTATTATTATTATTAGTAGTAGTAGTAGTATGATGAATTGTTGGAGAAGAACAGTTTCAGTGCAGATTCTGGTCTTTATTCTGCTCAGTTAAACTCATTTATTGGAACCAGAGTTGTTTTAGTTTTTCAGGGTTCCCACTCTTCTTAAGGGACA